TTGTCTCAGAGACTCTTTGTTAGTAACCGTCCGTCTATAGACAACTAATCTATAAACAACTAATCTATAAACAACGAATCTATAAACAACTAATCTATAGACAACTAATCTATAAACAACTAATCTATAAACAACTAATCTGAAAAAACAACTAATCTATAAACAACTAATCCATAAACAACTAATCTATAGACAACTAATCTATAGACAACTAATCCATAAACAACTAAACCATAAACAACTAATCTATAGACAACTAATCTATAAACAACTAATCTATAAACAACGAATCTATAAACAACTAATCTATAGACAACTAATCTATAAACAACTAATCTATAAACAACTAATCTATAAACAACTAATCTATAAACAACTAATCTATAAACAACTAATCTATAGACAACTAATCTATAAACAACTAATCTATAGACAACTAATCTATAAACAACTAATCTATAAACAACTAATCCATAAACAACTAATCTATAGACAACTAATCTATAAACAACTAAACCATAAACAACTAATCCATAAACAACGAATCTATAAATAATCTCTAAACAACTAAATGTAAAACAGCTTAAGTATAAAACTACAAACAAACATGTGCAGAGTCTTCAGTCTTCAGTTTATTCACTATTTTCAGGAATGTTGAGCTCTAACTTGTAATGCTCTTTGAGACGTAAACTAGAAAACCATTTTATTTCACACAAATACAATTGTTTAAATGAACACATGATGTTTGTTTGGTACGAGCTGCAGAGCCCACATTTGAACACGCATCACACCAAATATGTTTTTACACTTTTCAATCCCATAAATATTTTTAAACAATATGGTAATAGACGTTTTGGCCACTTACATAATGCTCCACCCCATTCTAACAAAAACACTTTCCATGCGTGTATATTTCAAACATGTAAGTTTAGTTGTTAAACAAACAAGAGATAAAAGTGACAAGATAAATAAAACAATATATTACAAATAAAATGTGAGTTAAATAAAATGAATCAATAACAAAATGGTATCGCTCGACTGATATGTTTTTCTGATATGTCGCTACCGACAAATAGTCATCAAGGAGGCTGATAATCGATATATGAAGGCAATATCCATTTGCAATGAACATGAAAATATCCAAACCATTCAACAAAAGTAATAATGTCTTCAAAGTAAATAAAGTACAGCAATATATTTACCTTCCATCTTCCTTTCTGTAAAATGTCAATTTTATGTCTTCTTTAAAATGAGCCGACTCCCATCAATATCCATACTCATTAGCAGCACATTAGCATTAGCACCAACCCTGTGGACTTTCACTTCCTTTAAAAATTAAATATCTGGAATTGGCCATCCAACTTTTCAAACATTGAGAACAACCACAGACTTCTGCTTTTCTTTGCAATTTTAGAAGGATTAAGATGTTGTTCTATTAACAATTATTTTGGAAAATGTAGTTGTTTTGGATTAGGGCGACAGTGGCTCAGTTGGTAGAGCATTGCCCTTAGAGCCTGAAGGTCATGGGTTCAAGACTGCTGTTGTTGTGTCCTTGGGCAAGACACTCCTGTTGACTCACCATCTGCAGGAGGATCAGTGAGGGGCTGGTGCTATGTGTACTGGGTGCAGCTCTGACTGACACCCCCCGACCCAGAAATGGATTAAGGGGCAGATAATGGATGGATGGAAAGTTGTTTTGAACCAAAAGGTCAGCAAAGATGAGATTATTTTTTTTGACACTTGACCAAGATTTTCTCAGAGATGAATTGTTACTCATCATGTCATTCTGCAGTCACTTTTTACAGACCGAGATGTTAATGTTCTTAATTTTTAACTAATTAAAATGACTTATTGTCCAGAAAGAGTAATATGAAATCCTTAAAGCGATATCTAACTTGGTATTATGGAGTTTGAAGTCATATTGTAACGACACTGCATCATACACAGACTATGTACAAAAGCAGAGTGCATTAGGATTTGACACATTTTGAATTCCTCTTGTTGTAGCTTAATATCTGCACAACCACATCCTGTTCAATCCAGTGAAGCAGTTGGACCAAAAAGTATTGAAATTGTCAGTGCTATGAATAAACATGACCTTTGCTGACATGCTGCTGATGAACCCAAAATGAATGCTGAAATCCCCAAGGCGGGAAACCAAGAGACGACAAACGCTTTTTATTCCACTCGGATTCCCGTTTCTCTCAATGGTCCGGGGATTAGACGGCAGCGCTGGTGACAAACCAGACTTTAAAGGGCCAACAGCATATGGGGCGAGGATTATGGGATTAGGTCATTAACAAGGTGACCGGCCTGTGGGTTCTTTGCATGAGGCTGCGTTGGAAACAGATACAGTACATGCATAGTTTGGGTTATGGGAACAAAAATATTAGTAGTAAAAGTGTTTATTTTTATTTTTATTAATAACACATGCTCTTTGTCCTAACAGAAATGCTCTTGTAAAAGTATTATATTGTGAACAAATCAGACCACAGCTGGCTGTCTTCATATTGCTATTGCTCATCTTTTGCATAAACATGAACATTCTGGATTCAGACCATGGACCATTATGGAAATACAGTAAATATGTTCCATTTTATGAAGATTACTGACGACTACAGCCAAGAAACAGAATTCCCATGGAAACAGTCAGAGTGGTAAATCCTACTCCCTGGACAAGTATGAGTCAGGTACGAAGAGATACTTTTGAAGACTTTTTAATGAAACAAGGATATCAACTTATGTTCGGACAGGTTTTATGTGCAGAAGACTTCAAGTGGAGGACACTGTCCCATCAAAGGTGACTTCCTTTACATTTCCTCAAAGAGATGACACCACACACGTCATTTGAAGCAGAAAGACTTGATTTGTAAATCTAGATTATTCTATATGCAGAAGTAAATCAGGAATCATGTTTTCCCAGATGCCCATCATGTTGGCATGGGACTTGAGTACACTAATCTGTGTGGCAGAACACAGGCTGGATAGTCCATGTTAGATTAACAAATAAACATTCAAAATGGCTTAATGGGTTCAGGTGAGGTCATAGACTGTATGTACATGGACATACCAAACCCCCTAGCCCAAAAGAAAAGTGCTCATGAATAAAGTTTCATTACATTTAAAAGTAAACTCCTCACTGGTCACACTCACCGTTTTGGCCAATCTGTGGTTTAGCGATCTCTATACGCAGGGAAACTTTCCTAGCAACCATCTTGGCAACACTTCTGTCCATGATACGGCGCAAAGCTAACAAACACTTATGTTCAAATACGCTTCTTTTGCGTTCGGCAAACACAATGGTCAGCACTGGGTCAGTCTTCTCAATTCAAATGGTCTGTGGGTGAGGTACAAAACATTTTGGTTCTTTCGTATCACAAAAGGTCGACCGAGATTGTACTTTTACAGGAGATAAACAACCAGGCATTTCATTACAAAGAACCATGTTTCAGATTAAAATTATCTCAAATACTGCAGGTGTCTTACAGAATCCACATTGTTTTTCATCTGAACTTTGGGTTGCCATGGTTGCAGTTTCATCGGTCAAATCTAAACTTTAAACTTTATTCCCCCATAGTTTTCTTACGTGCGGAGGCCACTAATAATTAATGAAATAAAGAACATAAAAAAATAAAAATGGCAAATAGATACAGTACTTTCTCCTCATACTTAAGTCTCAAGTGTATTTTATTCTGGTGCCAGAATCCACAACTCCTCAGAAAGAATAATAAAAGGAGTTTAGGGCTGTAAATACTAACATTATTTTCATCCCACATATACAGCTCGGACAAGAAGCCCATCAGAAAACAGTTCATAGAGAGATAGACCAGGATTATTTTCAATGATTAACTGCAAGAATGATTAAATATGACTTGCTTGAATGAAGAAGTATTTTATCTGAACGAATAGCCACAGTCTTAAAGCAGATTTGACCATTGCAGCACAACAAGTCCTGGTTTACTTCAGCAAAAAAAGACAAGATAAGATATTCCTTTATTCGTCCCACAGTGGGGAGATTCCAGTGTCATCGTTGCACACATCACAGCAGAGGAAGAAGGAAATAAGAGCACTCAGATTGCACGCATCAAAAACGATAAAAACAACTTCTAACTTGGAATGAGAAAACTACAACTGCTCTATAAAGCAAAAGACCGAGCTGTAAAGTGCCAAATTGTTGTGGTTTCCTTTGGCAAGACACTTCACCAACATTGCGTGTGAGAAGGGTTGGTGGTGGTTGGAGGGCTGTGATGGCTCATAATGGTTGTATCACTTCAGTTTGCCCCAGGGCAGCTGTGGCGACAGTGGTATCTTTTCACCAGTGCATGGAGTGACAGAATAATGACATGTGAAGAGTGTCCAAAAAAGCACTACATAAAACAATTTTAATTTTAAATCTTAAATAATTGAACCCAACACGATATGCCAATTACCACCACTATAATTCCAGTTTGATTGAGATTAATCTTGATAGTTACTTATCAACACATACATGCGCAACTCGGGAAATTATTTATAATAAAAGTTCAAAAGTATTTTTTTTTCTGGAATTCAACATACAATGTGAAACTAATACACATTAGTTGCAAAGTGAAATATATCGAGCCTGTATTTGTTATAATGTTGATAGTTGTTGTTTTTAGAAACCTAAATAATCTCAGATGTAGAATATTTTGAAAATGCACTTTAATCCACAATAATCAACATTATAACAAAGAAATTCTTCACAAATTAAGTTCATTTACAGAAAAAAATTCACTTTTGAACAGTTCCCTAAATTTCAACTTCAAGTATTTCATAGCAATGATGGATTAGTTGGGGCAATTACCGGCATTCTTCAGATTAACTGATAAAATGTAGGCTATGAAGTCCTATCATATCTTTGCTCATGCACGCTTTGAGCTACAGACCAGTTCTTTCATTATATTAAAAGTAGATTTGTGGCGGTTGATCGATTAACTTGTTGCAACCTTGAAGCAGTCATGTTGGAAAACAGCTCTTACCGTGAGGAAAGGGGTTCGGCTGCACCACATGGAGAAAGGTGTGCACCAGCTGGAACAGAATCCCGATCGGCCCAGGTTCGTAGTGGGCCAGCGTCTCGTAGACTCCCGCGGGAACGTATCCGAAATCCAACTTTTCTGGGGGTGGAAGTCTGCGTGAGTCCTTCTCCTCTGACTCCAGCTCAGCACTCACCTCCAGCAGCCACAGCGAGACCACCGCGGCCCCCACAAGGACCGCACACAGCCCGCGCATCCTTCTACCTTCGTGCGTAAAAGTGGAGAGAGCAGAAATTACGCACGAATTCGCTGCTGGAAGCGCGCGTGAAACAGGCTCGGTGGTGCAGGGTCCTGTCAGCAGCGCGTTACGTGGTGCTGCCAGAAGACATCCCCGGCTTGAACGTGGTCCCCCCCACCGCGCTATGAGGCTTTGGAGAGGCCGGGTGTGGGTGAGGGTTCGGGCGCTGCGGTCGGGTGCCTGGATGGAGGTAAGTGACAGTGCGCGCCTGTCCTCCACCTTCACTTCTTCAGTCGCGCGTCTCCAGCGACGGTCGTCAAGTGTATGAGCCGCGGGGGCGCGCATAACGGGAGCGCGCAGAGGGATGGGCCAAGTGCGCCGTCTTCTGGACACAAGCAGATAATTTGAAATGTTTATGATTACATAATAGTGTGTATACAAACAAACAGTTCTAGCTTTTCGTAGACAGTGTAAAAGTCAAATTGTGAATGAATCAGATCACATCCTGCTCTGATGAGGAAAGAAGAAAGAAGAAAGAGCCCTGTGAGTCACTATTTGATACTTGGAGCTGCGAGCTGCTTTTTCACTCTTTGGTCTGATAAAGGTGATCTGAAGATGTGACGGAGGCCTAAAATGCAGACATGAGAAAACTAATGAACCAAACTGCTTTGGAGCCATGGATTTCGTGACATAGTTACATTTTATGTGGTTGGAAAATCAGGTTCCCCATAGCAGCCCATTATATGTTAATTATCTTATACGGCTCCAGACAGAGGACACCTGAGCCCAAAGCAACGCTGCTATTGGCTGATCCATGTCCAGGTAGGGGCCCATGCACAAAAGGCTGTTATGTGGAGCAGGTGGGCCCTGGTTCTCCCTCCTGCTTCCCCCACACAGGGATCTTTATGTTGAGGTCTTTGATCACCAGAGGGAGGTAAGGTCCGACTGGTTTTTACAGTATGGAGGAAGCTCGTATGACACAAGACACAACTGAATAATATGTTTTTAGCCTGTTATCATTAGTAAACTTGTTTAACTTAACCCTGATCCTGGATCTATAATAAAGCTGGAAACCAAACTTTCAAACCACAGGGAATGGAAATATATAATTAGTTCAGCTCTGAACCCAAAGAGACAAATAGGGACATATGGCTCTTTCTAAAGAGTGTGTTAAAACAGTAGCGTGTGTAGTAGAAGACGGAGAGAGGGCCAAAGAATGGATAGAATGATGGGGTGAAGAGAGCATTGAATGTGAGAGGTATGACAGTGGAGGAAGCGAGAGTTTGCGTGCACGATAGGAAAGCATGGAGAGTGATTGTGAATGCATGAACTGCCGTGACCCTGGCAGGGACCCTGCCTACCGGCATCTCATAATTATTTAACTTTTATTCATATAGACGTAATAAAACAGTCACATTTTGTAATGGGATATTTTGGATGAAAAGCAAAACAAACTTGTGTTATTTAAAATGTGAATTGGGAAAATGTATGTCTTAGGAACTAAATAACGATCTTCATCCCTCTTCAGACAAAGCGGCGAATGAATACGGTTTTAGTTGATGAAATCTAGTGAAATAAAACAAGGGAAAATATGTTTAACGTTGAAGTACATAACTTTTCGTTTGTTTAATAAATAACCTTGTTTGTTGCAACAGAAAGAGTTTTGTTGTTCACTTTCTTTGGGTGAATAAGTGAAAACATGCTTCTGCGGTGGAGATGATTCCACCTGTAAAGTGCTGTTTTGGTGCTTTCACATCCCCTAAAACTTATTTTTACTAAAAGTGAACTGTTGTTCACCTGGAGCTCAAGTGTGAATCCTAAGTCACCTTTTGTGAAGAAATAACAAACTACCGTCTTACAAGGGGCGACAGTGGCTCAGTTGGTAGAGCGTTGGCCTGAACGTCGTGGGTTCGAGCAGACCACAAAACCCACTTCACGACTTCCACTGTCGTTGTGTCCTTGGGCATGGCACGTAACCCCACTTTGCCTGAAGCCCCTGCTGAATAATAAAGACTCTTGTGGACTCACCACCTGCAGGAGGATCAGTGGGGGCTGGTGCTAAGTGGACTGGGTGCAGCTCTGACTGCCACCCCCCGACCCAGAAATGGATTAAGAGGAAGAAGATGGATGGATGGAAACATTTGATCTGAGAGCTGATTGGCTGAGTGAGGGTTGGTACCCTCTTTTTGCACTGAAATTAAGCCGATAAATGCATGTGAAAGAAGCAATGAAGAAAGAAGAAGAGATAGAAGCAATTATTTTTGAGAGAAAGGGACCAGTAACATATTTTTTACTTTAAAACAGCTCTGCTTGTGTACAAGTCTCTCCATGGCCTCGCACCAAAATATATTAGTGACATGTTAGTCCCATATGAACCAGCCCGGACTCTGAGGAGCACAGGGACTGGACTCCTGTTAGTGCCCAGAGTCAGAACTAAACATGGGGAGGCTGCTTTTCAGATTCATGCTGCTAAAATCTGGAACAGTCTTCCTGAAGATGTGAGACAGAACTCCTCTCTGGCAATGTTTAAAATCAGGTTAAAAATGGTTCTGTTTAGCTGTGCATACAACTGAGGGATTTTATATTTTTATCTTTCTTTTTAATGTTCTGTGATTATTTATGATTTTAATGCTTTCTAATTGTAAGGTCTACGACAGGAAACCTTTGAGGTGGCATCATTGTGACACCATTAAAAAAGACAAACTTTTTACATTTGAACATTTTGTAAGCTTTTGTACACTGAAATTGTTTTTTAAATGTTTAACTGATCATGTTCCACCGCTGTTCTCTGGTCTGGCTGTCAGACGTCAAGGCTCTCGCAGGCCTAACACCAGAGCCTCGGTCAGTGGGGACTGTCTGGTTCCTAAGTCCAGAACATCGTTGGGACAGTCCAGCTTTTCCTTCAATGGAGCCAAACTGTGGAACGCTCTTCCCACTGACCTAAAACTACAAACAGTCTTAAACATCTTCGTCGGACGTCTGAAACTGTGGCTGAAATCGGAGCAACGTTGTTCACATGATTAATGAACTGTATATTTAATTACTTTTATATTTGTACATTTTAAATATGTGCCTTTGTGTTCTGAAAGCCTTCTATGGACAAGTGTTGAAAATGATCATGGTCTTGCTATAACACTAAAGGCAGTGCATCTGGTCTGTCCAATGGAACTGTTGTGTCCATATCAAATAAAATAAATAAATGAATTAAGATTTTGTTCACAACTTTGAGTTGCCTTGTCTATGAATTGTGCTATACAAAAAAACTTGCCTTGCCTTGCCTATTTTATAACTAATAATACTTATTTTGTGTGGTTTCAAAGTTGTGTACTCAAGCTTTTCTCATTACACTTTTTGCATCGTACATTTGCAAAGTTTCATTGTCTCAGTCTAGATTGACCAGTGCATATGTTTCCCTCTGAAGCCCAAACACAAATGAGTGCCTACATGCTACAATTTAGTATTTATTCATGCAAAAGATAAACTTGGAAGTACAAAAACAGCATTCAGCTTAAAGCCAATGAAAAAAAGAAAAGTCAATCGATTACATTTTATTAAGATGGAGCAGCAGAGCATTCCAAAGCTTAGGCCGGCAACCGAGAAGGAGCGCCCCCCTGAGTTTGAGTCTAAGTTTGGGAACAATTAGAAATGAGAGGTCAGTGCTGTTGTGTCTTCATGGCTGACACGGTGAATAGCACTCTCGCTTCTCAATAAGGTCTTGGGTTCAAATCCCAGTTGGAGTTGAGTGGAGTGGAGTGTGCATGGTCTCCCAGTGTCTGCATAGGTTTCCTCCAGGTGCTCTGGTTTCCCTTACCACTGAATACATGCACAATAGGTATGACCGTCATGAGTGAGTGAATGGATGTGGTGTTGGTTTTGGGGCTTCGACGCAGTGTGTTCGGCGTCTCGCTTCCGTCATCACAATGTGGAGAGAACAGATCTGAACTCTCAACATTGTATAGCGCTTTGGGGGACCTTGGTCTGTGTTTTATGACTGAAGAAGTTTTGTGAAAGACATTTAAACACCAATAAGTCAAATTTAAAATCATTGTACAGGGATCCAGAGAGGTGACCTGAACACTGGGGTAATGTGCTCCTGTTTTTTGTACGTGTAAGTAAGTAAGCCGTGGACTTTAGAGGGAATGTTTTATCTTGCATTTTCAGAGTCTTGTGCAGTGACAGTGGCTGTGTGTCGTCTGGATCATAAGGAGCTTACGAGTCTAAGAATGTGTGGGTATTCTGAGTACAGGTCTCTGGGCCAGTGCAGTGGATTACCATCAGAGCATCAACACCACAACACAGCCAGACAACACAAACACACACACACACAAGGGCCCCACGAACATCCAAGTGAAGAGAAAACCTTTTGGGATACATATTCAGTGCATTCAAATTTGAGTTTTTTGGTAGAGCACCTTTCATCTCAAAGTGCTTTACACAAATGTCAAAAATGTTCAAGCAATAAAACAATCAAAAGCATGGCAATAAAATACACGGCATGTGAAAGACCGGACAGAACATACAGCTAATAAATATAAACTCAAGTTACAATTACTTAAAGATCACAGGCCGATGTTTACATTACAAGTGACATCACCTCTATGCAAGAAATGGTTGCCCCATTTTGTTGTCACACATGATTGGGATGGATTCAATTCAATTCATATTTATCTATCTCTATCTATTCAATCTATATTTATCTATATAGAGCCCTAAATCACAATAGTAGTTATTATGGAGGACTTTACAAAGCTGTCGCCAACACAGATCAGAGAATCACACCGTTCAAACACTGGAAATGCAATGATTAAAACACATAGAGCCATTGATCCATAAGGTGCGGAAGGATCAATGTCATAAATGTTGACAAAGTCCATAAATGTCATTGAATGAAGAGTGTCCTGGATCATCACTGTCCTTAGACCCTTGAAATGGACTGTGCACAAGAGAATGGTGGTAGAGATGAGGCAAACACAGACCCGGGATCGGAGCCTGATGAGGATTTCAGAGTCTGACTTGACATTGGTGGGCTTGATGAATGGCAAGTTCTTAAAGAGCGACTAAATACCTGTGCCCAGCCTTACTCCGCCCACATGAACATTTTCTCTAAATAGGGCGTTGCCTGGAGGACCAAGGGACAAGAAGGGGGGCTTAGAGTTGGGCGTGGTCTGGGCTGTGATTGACAGCTCGCAGTTGTCATTGCTGCTTAAAGCAATAGTTTACAGACCAGAAAGTCTCATTCCACCCTCGTTTACACACTAAATAATTGCAGAACTACACACCTGAACCTAATCCACACAATTATCTCAGAATTACTCATGTAATTTCAATTTAATCCACTAGCTCCAACCTGCAGCTGGGGCGCGTGTGAGAGTTGAATGGGTTTAAATCACTCACACACACAAACTGACGTCACACAGGATTACAGAGTCAATTTAGAGGCCAGGACTAAATTCAAATGTAGTACCACCGAAAAGGTTGGGGGGGGCGCCACACAGACGTTTTTAGGCTCAAAAGTGAGATTTAATCTAATTTGCACTAAAATGTCAAAAAAATGACCAGGATTTGTAGAGAGCACTACAATAAAAAAATATTTATGCAGTTTATGAGCTAAAAAAAAGTTGATCAGCTTCTCACATTATGCATCTGGAGTGCGGGCTGGATTCACCTGCACATCCGCACACGCACCCCTAACTTTGAACTTTCTCCGCTGCGTTGTAAAGCATTGTGCTCGTGGTTTGGACACACTTCCTGTCAAGATCGAATGTGATTATTTGTAACTGAATCAATAGTGCTTTCATTTCTCGAGGAAAGTGTGTCCTCTACACATATCCTGCTTTGCAACAGCGATCATGGCAGCGTGCTTAAACAACATGTCTTATCACTGGAAGTCTATGCTTGATACTTGATTTATCCCACCACGGGCAATTTGTTTGAGCAGCACAGGGAATAAAAACATCAACAACACATAAAAACAATCTAAGACAGTAACATAAGCAATTTCCAGCAACAGGGCTCAAAAGAAACTTCACCCCGTTTGGTGTGAACTCTGGAAACCATCGATAGACAAGTGCCGCCAGAGCAACACAATCGACAAATCTGAAGTAAATTGGACTTCTGCTATTGAGAGATTTATGGGCCAACAAAATCATCTCAAAATCATTTCTATCGGGAACTGGGAGCACAAGAATCTCTCAAAACACTGGGGATAAGTGCTGTCTTTTTATTTTAGTTCCAATTCTTGCTGTAGCATCTTGAATTAGTTCCAAATGCCTGATGGAGGACTTTGTAAGACCTGTAAACAAACCATTAGAACAATCAAGCCTACTCTGAATACGAATGCATGGACTTTTTTCAAGGTGACTTTTAGAGATAAAATGGTGTGGCTGAGGTGTGAGATATTTTTCAGATGTAAGAAAATGTATTACTATTTGCTATTTTTAGAACTATCCATTTATTTGTGTTGTTTGTATGGATGGATGTGTTTCTGCTGCGACTGGACACTTGAATTTCTCCTACGGGGATCAATAAAGTATCCATCTAAAATTCAATTCACAATCGAAAGTTACTCCAAGACTTTTGACTGGGTGTTTTTGATGCAGCAGAGTGATGGAGCAGAGAAAGCTTGTCGGATACTTTCTGTCAGTCTTTCATAGAGCCAAAAGCAATCACTTCAGCTTTCTTTTTTTGGTCATGTATTTTGTATTAGCCTGAATAAAATGATAGCTCATTCACGGGCCAATGTTTTTTAAGCATTGCATTAAAGGCGACTTAAGAATCTTGTTTAATTTCTTTCCAGTCTTGCATGTGAAGTCCTGTCTTACAACTGAGGGACTTTAAAAAGAAAGATAAAAAAATATATAATGTACTATTTATGATTTTAATGCTATCTTATTTGGTTCAGCACTTTGAGTTGCTTTGTGTATGAATACAAACAAACTTGCCTTGCCTTACATTTGAGATTCCAGTGCTCAGAAATTAGTTTAACCCATGACATTATCGTCGTCATCGTCAAGTTAGAAAATAAAACCCAAGATCCGAGCCAGTCCCAGCCCACACCAGGTTTATATCAGCTCTGTAGTTTAAGAGGTGGCAGAAACCATTTCAAGTTCAAAGTTCACAAATATCAAAGTTGTGGCAAAAAATGAATTCAATCTACATTCAATGCAAACGTCTCAGATTAAATGATAAAGTGGAGAGTTCAAAAATAATGCCACCAATGTAACAAACCATCTTTAATTTTTATTAGAAACGTTTCACAATAAATGTAAATAATTAATAAATACAACATTTAAGCGTCGTGTCGATATAATCCCCCAGAACACTGCATCATTTCACTTATGAACAGAAACAAAACAAATTCATGTTTAAAATACTATTCAAAAGAACAAAACTGAAAACAAATGGTAGTAATTCACATTTGAAAAATATATTTAAGAACATCCCATTTCAACAATATTATTTTTTCTTTAACTGTTTCTTGAATAAATGAATGTTGGGAAAAGGAGATGTTTGTATTTATGTAAGAAGGACTATTGTTCTAAAGTGCTGCTGTAAACGGTTGGATCTATAGTTAAGCATGTTTTATATTGTTGTAATTTTGTAATGGAATCTCATCAAACCATGCTTCCATTTGGTGGCTGTAAACGTGAATGATAAAACAAGACACAGTGGTCTCCAAGTGCAAATGTTCTTGGCACAAATGTAATAAAGGCCAAACGCGCTCGTGTCATTGATAACTGTATGGCACACTTCAAGGCTGTGTTTATGTGAAGAAAACAAAAAAAAACGCGACAATTTACAACATCGGATCTAGAGAGAAGAGGTTTAGTCGCAGAATGTGCCTCTAACGCCATGCGATGAGGGTTTGTATGACTTTTTAACTTGGAGAAGAGTGGAGTTGCAACAAAATCCATACAAATAATTCGTTCCGGTTTAGTTAAGGGGATTTTAAGAACTTTTAAAGATTTTTCTTCTCGTACACATCAAATCCAATGTCAAAAAAGGAAAGGATAGCAGGCACATGGCACTGTGCGCGTCTCTGGGCAAACCAAACCACTCGCCCCTTTACTCTTGTCCGAGTCCGCCCCGCTGGGCTGCAGAAGAGGGCATGTGCCAAAACCATCAGTCTGGAGAAAAATAATGTCCTCTCATAAAACCAGAAGTAGCATGTGGAGGGGAAAAAAATCTGTCCTGTTCAGTATTGCGATATGTTGTGCATGCTATTAAATTAAAGTAGCAAAGTATTGAGCTATTGAATTAAATATCTGATTCACTTTCATGGTTTCTCAGAGTTGACTCCATCTGAGATATAGATATGTTACTCTATGTCGGATTATTGTCTTAGTCTATTGTGTTTGAATAATTTCAGAGATGTGCTGGGAGCTCAACATTCGTGTGAGAAGTCGTCTTTTCAGAGAATAACGATGTCCTGTTATAAGGTCCTGAATGTTTGTGCACTTCAGTTAATGTGCAGACCATAATCAATACATTATGATTGAATAACATGGATGGATGGATGTTTAAACATACTTAAACACTTAGAAAGGGTTTTTAAAATGCTATTATTGAATAGAGTAGTGTAATTTAGTTTTCTTTAAAGAGCGGATTCAAAACTTTCTAAACCAATTGTAAGCTTCTAAATTTGTACAACTGTTTTACTATTATTTTTTCTAGCTGTCCAAGATGCATTGTTCATTTCTCCATCCCAGATCAGTACCATCTGTACACTTAGTCTTGGCAACATGTTAAGGCATCACATCCTTAGAGACTTAAAAAAGCAGAATGAATGGTAAAATACTGTTGGCACATTAAAATAGCATTCAAGTTTTGCATCTGTTTAAAATATAGATAACACTTTGTATCTGATCCCAACGTAAATCTAATAAAGTCTTAATGGCACTCGCACTCAAAGCTCGCTGCATAACATTCATATATAATCAGATGATAATTGTAGAAATCTCCAATGTGGAATTAGGAATGATTTTCAGTGATGGGTTTGGCCAATTTGTTTTCACGTTTCACAACATGGATCCCAAATAGAAATGTGACGCTAATGCTGTGAAATAATACAAATGCTAATAATGCCGATAACTGTTTAACCATAAATCTGTTGTAGTGTTAGTCATTACTCAGAACCTCAGACTGGAAGGATATTTAGGCATAAGGTCCATGTCCGTGTGGTCGTTTTGAATGGAATGTTCCAGAGCCAGCATCACTCTTCCACATTGGAGACAAGTCACATCTGCTGAGAACAGACTGGGCCGATGGAAGAATTCAAGTTTTTGAGAACTAAAATCATCTGGAATCAAATAATGTACACATTTCATATCAAAGAAGAAAGAAGTACATTCCAAGAAAGGCAATAATTAAAGCTGAACATTGCACCTTTAAATAAACAGTTGTGTTTGAAAGTTTACACAGCCAGGCGGAAATGTAACTGTTTTAGACATTATAAACGAAGACACAATTGAGCCGCTCTGAGAGGTCCAATGTGCAGTGCATGCAAGTGGCCCAGGAATTTACAGCAGCTTTGCAGACGACTGGGCAGATTTACCATCGGAGAGGATAAGGACCTCATCCACAAGTACTCCAGGCTGTTATAGCTGGTCACTATTGATAACTGGGGGATGGAGATTTCTGATCAGGCTCAGAAGAGTAGTAAAGGCTTCACACAACCACCAACAATGAGTGAATAAAGTATAAGCGTTCTTCATCTCCAAAAAACAGCTACATTTCTGTCCAGGTGTGAGCTTTCAAGCAAGTGAATGTAAAAGGGGATTCCAAACATATCCATTTTCACCCTCTCATGAATTCAGTCTAGCAGCATTTTCTCCAAATAACTTAAAAGTAGCATCATCAATAATAAATAGTGTATAACCCTGGCTGGTGGTGGTCCCTGAGTGTTCCTGAGAGCTGTGTTTGGCGTTTCCTCTGTGAGCTCTAGTCAATGCGGTTCCCACACAGAGTGAAGCGGTCGATCTCCAGCAGCTCCGCTTTGGAAGTCCTCTGCAGGAGCTCAGAGTTGGCCCCTGGTTCCCCCTCCTCCTCCTTGGACAGAGACGGGAGGGGCTCTTCTGGCTCCGGAGGCGGGCTGTGGTCGGCGGTCATGGCGGAGCACACCTCGATGGGGGCGGAGGAGGGGAACAGGTCGCTCCTGGGGCTGGGCTGCGAGGAGATGGGGACGGGCGGCTTGGGAGGTTCGACGGGGACCTCCTCCACGGATTCAGCTGCAGAGAACAAACCAGGAGAGTTAAGCAAAGATGATGCATTTGTTCCAGAATCCTCTTGAGAATGACTGACTCAGGTACCCCGACTTTAAGACATGTGCCAATCTTTACAAACACATAAACTGAACGCTAACTACTGCACTTCCCCGCTCTTAAAACAGTGGTATCTGAATATAATTGTTTTATTTTTTTAACTTATGATTCCGTCTTAAAGAACTTTATGATTAAGATATCCTTTTCATCCCACGGTGGGGAAATGTCAGTGTTGCATCACAGGTTAGAGAAAGGACTGAGGAGAACACATTTGAGTTTCCTTATGCATGATTTTGTTAACACAAGAACTTGCCTTGTCTAAATGTACTTACCAAAAAGTTCCTTGTCTATTCTGGAGAGTGTGAGCATGCAGTAATGGGGCATTATGAAGCACAGACGGCCTAACTGACGGACAGAGAAATAAACCAATCATCAAACAGTAGATCTGAGGACAGCTGTGCTTCAAGAAGAAAGTTGTAGCAAAATAGAAAACATGGCGACAGGTGCAGGGACTTTATGTCAGGCCTGAAACGCTTAGCAAGCTATAGACGTGCTACCCTAAAATAAAATGTGAGGGCCAAAGAATTGTCTGTTTCCATAGAAAATGATAATTAAAGTTTCAGCAATAATGTATTTCCTCAAACATCTGAAAAACTACTGTTTATGACAAAAGTGGCATTTTTGAGACAAAAAACAAACTTTGATGAAACATGAAAGTGTAATGTTAGTTCAGAGCAGGTGTACCTGACTGGAACAGAGCAATGTCAAAGTTTGTGAGTTTAATTTGAAGTTTGCCTTTGAAACAAAATCAAAGAGGATTATTTAATTGAGAGAAACAGGTGTTACATGATCCTGTTCCATCTCTTCTGCTCTCAGTCACTTACTGTTTAGTGGATTATCTGGGAACAATCATAAGAACAATCATGAGGGTTGAGTATCCCCCTAGAAGCAAACCTTTGATGTTGCGTAAATAATCAATACTTAAAATTAGAGCCATTTAACACTTTTTATATTTCTAATCTGAACCTTTTCTGAACCTACTACAATAAACTAGGTACTGTTCCCTTCTGCACACAGAAGTCATTGTTCAGAGTCGAATGTGTGTAAGCTTTAGTAACGTAGGAGGAATCCATCTGCCCTCAGGATGGGAGACCCACAGATGGCCTTCATACTGTTGTGTGATTGTAAAGAGACTGCCCTCAGGATGGGACACCCACAGATGGCTGTGATTGTAAAGAGACAAGAGCCAGTTACTGTGCTCTGATCATCAGCGCACACCTGTGGGAAGTGCAGCAATATTTGTAATTAAGAATAATCATTGACTAAAGCAGCTTCATTCTGCTCAAGTTATATCTGTAATATCATTCCCTTTTTGTTTATTCGAAACGTGGATGTATCCAGTCAAGTCAACACTAATGTATTTACCCAATTATCTTGCAAAAAGTGTTAGTAAAATAATGATCTGAGTGGGAGGGTAATAAAGTGTACTATTACATATAAAGTCCAGTTAACATGAGTGTGTGAAACAGAGAGCGTCAGTCAGAGCAGCAGCTCAGTGACATGATTAGAGAGTACGCTGAAGCGTGAGCTTTTAAACCTGGAGCCGTGTCTGTCACTTTCATTTGAAAGAGCTTTGGCAAAGCTTTGATGTTTGATGCCACACGACACAGTCAGAGCTCTATCTGATCTCTCCACAGAATGTTCCCAGGAGACATGTCTGTGGAGGGAGAGAAGGTGTGGCGGCTGAGTGGTTTGCACTCATAGAAACACGACCTTCATCGATGCTTCTCCCAGTGTCAGAATGGACAAATGCTATGTTTTTCTCAATCACCTCCCTCAGGACCAGACTTCTGACCGAGCAAAGCTAAAGAGTCCCAGAGCATTGCCAGCGCAAACGAGATATCCGAGAGAGATACTGGCCGTCCCAGTTGTATTAGATCCAAGAAGCTTGACTCATTTTGTTCAGAATTCATCTACCAAAAGAATATCCAAACTATTCATCATAGAAACAGCCAAAAATGCAGATGATGAGGTATAAACAAACTTTCCAAAAAGACGTTATGGAACTGAGGAACCAGGCTAAATTCACGTGGGCTACCCAGAAATTTTCCCCATAGGACTCAATGCATATTAAAACAGCTCGACCTCAGCTGACAGAGAACCTACAGCTTTAATAAAGGTCGGATTTTAGTGTCCATTGTCATCCTGAACTTTTTTTCTTCTTAAATCCTTCATCTTTGTTTAAATCCACACTTTACTGCCACAAACTCTGCTCGTCTGGCTCTCGCTCTAACTCCCGCTCTGATGAACTGCTCTGATTGGTCAGAGCGCGGCCCAGCCCCTCTGTGCACGTGCGTGAGACCCGGTGTGAGACCCACACACGCGTGTTTGGCGCAACGCATGGAGGGAGATCATCCACTGCGCAGAACCGGGAGGACCAGACGATGCCCAAATACAGGCGACTTCCGCTAATCTTTCAGCCCCCATGCCGTCACAAAGCGCCACTGAGCACAACCATTCATTTGAATAGGGCGCCATCTTGGATCGCCGGGGCTTGGTCTGTGTGTGTGTAACCTGTGGAGCATAGTTGTGTCTCACTGCTCTTCTGACTTGTGGTTGTGCTTTCTGAGGCTGCTGGTTGTACGTGTGTGTGGGAAGGTGTGTGTGTTGCGGGGACCAGGGTATGCGTCTGTTGTGTTACCTGTGGGTGTGGAGCATGGTTCCGTCTCGCTGCTCTTCTGTGTGGCGCCCGTGCTCTCGCTCTCGGAGGCTGGCGGTTGCTCGTACAGCTTGTCCTCCATGTTGGCTCTCTTGATGAGCACACAAGACTTCCCCAGCAGCACGATACTGTTCAGAACTTTGAGCGTGAGGAGCCTGAGGAGACCAGAATAAGAAACAATCAAACAGATTCAGCTCATGGAGAATTTTGAATGCAATGCCGAGACTACAGTTCGCACAGATTTTTGGGACTCTCCAAGTTTTGCACATATTAAGACCGAAAGCGTTGTCCATTTGTCTCAAGCCCATCATTAGGGAAAGATGTGTGAGCTTGTAGCCATCATAGGACATTCCCAAAGATAATGGAATGCACAAAACAAAACCTCCAAAATGCCAAAGTAAACAAAAAACAAAAAAAGTTAATATATTTTCCCCAAAGATGCCATCCAGGAAGAGTAAACAACCAGTCTCTCTGTTCAAAGTTTTTAATTCATGGTAATATATTATTCCATGGTTTATCTTTCACTGCATTTAATTAGTGAGAGACACAAAATGTAATCTGTTCTGATGGAATTAGAGCAAACTACTGCCGGTTAATAATTTTCTCCAGCATCACGGCGAATGCATTCTAAGTTGCATAATATTAAAGAATCCATCTCATCAGCATGTTTGTCTGGGTGCAGATGTAGAATGTGAGATGGTGGAATAATGAGAGTGCAGATCCTGTCCCATCTCATGCGCTTGTGGCTGGGCTTCCACATGTGACGAGAGGCGGCCCGACACTTTTGGGTCTACAGTATGGAGCACAGTGCGCGGTGACAGGGTGTTGTGCGAGCTCTATTTTTAAAGTCTTCACGGGGGGGAGGCCTGGAGACGGCAGCAGAGATGACGGTTCCCCCAAGGGAGCTCTCCAGTGGTGTAAACCCGATGGGACAGTGGCGCATGAGCAGGCGATGGGCGGCTCGCACAAACATGCGCGACGCACATTCACTTATATAACAGGCTGCATGTGTGTGTAGTCAAGGGGAAGGAGTGGGAAAGCGTGAAATCAATGAAGAAAAAGACATTCGTTTACGGTTGTGAAGCATAAATAGAAAACACAATGACCCAATGTTGTGACAGGAGCTCAGAGTTACTCTAATAATTGTAAACTTTTTTTCACATAGTTCTGATTCATGTGAACCCAGCTCTTTAGTGACGACTACTAAACTACTCCTATGATAAAGATGACATCAATTTGTACCAAGATAAAGAAAGCATGATGTGGTCTGATTTGTTCAGAGAAGACTGTCTGTTAGGCCAAACTACATATATTTGTACTGTGTTTCTCTGTAACTTGCGCTGGTCCCTCTCCTCCCACATGTTTGAGCAAATTGATGTTGAAAGTTTTCATTTTCACTTTAATTATTAAAACTTGCTGTGTAAAGTACCGCTTAAGGTGATTGGAAGCTCAAGGGCTGCATATTATACTCCAGGTGGAAGACAGGTCACATAAGTGTCCTCTTCACTCCACATCACGATTCACTCCCAAACTGAAAACGATCTTCAGACTTGTCTTTCTGCTTCATGTGACACAACTCTCCTATTGTTTCATTCAATGAAATTGGATTAAGCTATAGACTCTTTGGAATGTTGTGATCGTTGTTATTGTTTAAAATGGTGCCTATTTGTTTTATGTGGATTAGCCCAGGAATATCCATCCGTCCATTTTCTTCCGCTTCATCCATTGCCGGGTCGCGGGGGCAGCAGTCTAAGCAGAGACGCCCAGACTTCCCTATCCACACACAGTTCCTCCAGCTCGTCCGGGGGAACCCCAAGGCGTTCCCAGGCCAGCTGAGAGACATAGTCCCTCCAGCGTGTCCTGGGTCCCAGGGCCTCCTCCCGTGTGACTGAACTCCTCACCCTATCTCTAAGGGAGCGCCCAGCCACGCTGCAGAGGAAGCTCATTTCGACCTCTTGTATTCGCGATCTCGTCCTTTCGGTGAGGGAGGGAATGAAGAGCTTTGCCTTTCGGCTCCCTCTTTACCACAAGGGTCCGGTACAGCGAGTGCATCACTTTGCACGCTGCACCGATCCGCCTGTCAATCTCACGCTCCATCCTTCCCTCACTCGTAAATGATGAATAGCCCAGGAATATGCGTGACATATTTGTTAGAACATATTAATTCAGGAGTGGTGACAATATTCCAACAACATACAGTATGTGCGATGTTGGCCAGTAGAAAGGACTTTCAGAAATCAGAATAACATGGCGGTTTGTGAATCAGATCATTATAAAAATGTCAACTTTTTTTTTCTTTCCCATTGATTTATTTTAGCACCTGCCCGAAACACAGAAAAAAAATTGTAGAACGTAAACACAACCTACTGTAGTGATAAACAATCGTAAATCTGTATGTGTTCCATATAGGTACTTATCAAAGCTGGGATGGAGTCACTAACCACACTTACCCCAGATACAAGAGGAACAGACAGGAGTACGCCAGCGCTCCTTGCACTTTCACTGAGGTCAGAACCACACGGATAAGCTGCAATCACAAGCACACACAAACATAATGACAAATCCTTTTCTCTCCCTTCTCCAGAAACTCCAGTGTGTCCCATACCAGAACAGCAGAAGGCAGTGGAATGAAGCCCATCCTGCGGGCCACCGAGTCACTGTAGTCTCTGTGAGCCTACAACAGAGCACAGGGCTGGTATGAACTACTACAAACACACAGTTATAAAAACCTGTAGCTTTAAGTAAACAAATAAACTAAACAAATCTAACAAAGTTTGAGGAGCCAACTTATGTTTTGTACAATACATTTAGTTTGTCTGAATAGAGAGTCTTGTTCAAGTAAAACGAGAACAAATCTGACCACAACGTGCCATCTTTTTCTTGTTAGAAAACATGCCCTCTTCATACTGGGAGCTGTCCGAACATGTGAAAAGTGATAGAACAGTTTGGAAAGCTCTGAACTAGTTACATGGGTTAAACTACAGAGTCATTTTTTGAGGTTTTAAAGTTATAGCTTTAAAGGGGACATAATCTCTCTGAATCTTAACTAAAACTATTCAAAAGGCACCACCTGCATGTGAAAGCCAGATCGCACCAGACCCCTGAAGCTAGGCTGGGCGGGGACCGGTTAGTACTGTGATGGGAGACCTCTGCGGCAGTAAAGTGCTAAACTGTTTGAGAGTCCTCTGGCAAGACAGTTCGCCAACTTTACCTAGTAATGAGTCTGGTGTGTGCGTGAAAGATTGGTGGCGGTTGGAGGAGCCCTTGGCACATACTGGCTGTATGTCAGTCTACCCCAGGGCAGTACTAGTTTATCAATAAATAATACCATGTGAAGAGTCCGAAAAGTGCTGTATAAAACCGATGCATTTCAGTTATGATTTCACATTACATCTCAGTACAGTGGTCCCTCACTATCGTGGTTCCCCTTGCTGTCTGTTCGCAGATTTTTTGTGGTCAACTTTGTGTCCTTTGTTACAGATTACTTCTTGTGTATACTCCAACATAGTATACAATATCATATAACCGCTAGTAAAACATGTCAGTTACTTTTATTTAAGACAGAAGAAAATGTGTATATGTGCTCCCACTCCTCAGCTTGTCATCCTCTGCATCTGTATTTTACAGTGTATGCATGGCTTTTGACAGCTGCAGCAGCACTCAGACCTACAACAAAGGTTTGATATCTCTGATATCGCACTTCAGCAGTAGTAAGTTCAGGTGATTAGAAAAGTGTATAAAGGCTGTGTGAGGCTTAAAACCTTCAGCCTCTACTTTGCTTATCACAGGTTATTTTCAGAACGTAACCCCCGCAAAAAACAAGGGACCACTGTAAGGAGCAGTGCAGACAAATTACGGATAAGCAGCATTATCAACAGCATTCGTACGTTTTTCTGGCGGCTGCTGAGGAGATCGAAGGCCAGGCTGGCTCTGTACTCACTGTACACCTGGACAAAGACAGCAAAAATACGGTCTTTGATGTTGTATTCATGTATTCATCCGGGCTCATCATGAAGGATACAAACCTCTGCACGAATGTTGTTGAATTTTGTGATGAAAGCGTGTTTGACAATGTCCACAGCAACCTCAGATACGACCACGATCACCACAGTGGGGATCAACTTCCACAGGTGACCTAGGGAGATGAACGTGATTTAGGTCAGACAGCAACTTCAGAAGTCTTTTGTTTTTTAAGATACAGCCAAAGTTGTAGATGAGACAAGACAGTCGTTTGTCCCTGGGTTAACAAATGAAGAACACAATTGGCAGACATTGATTGATTGATTGATTTTTTGGCCATATTTCTGAGATTATGAAGGACAGCTATTTCCCCCTCTCATTATTTGCGGTTCCGTATGGTTATTGTCAAATAAACATTGTAAATAAATGTTATCCATGTTCAACAGAGCCTGCTATTCTGACCCAGATTAGAAGTCGCCATCCACCAGTTCTCAACAGTACATTGGCCCTTTAACATCTTCTGGGAAAAAGCCAAAATAATTGAACTGCACAATCACATTGGAATACCAGTGAAAGAGTACAGAACGAGACAGAACAGATGGTACACACCAGAGCTCTTCCCATGTTAATTGCCAAAATATGAGCAAAACAATGACATTCAAATAGAAAACCCTCTTGTATATACAATATGGTTTTAGTATATCTGAAAAAAAATACTGCATTTACCCATGTTCCAGGACATCTGCTCCAAATTCCTCAGAACTACGATGAGGAGCAGGATGTAGCTGGTGAACCTCTCTTTAATATCTACAAACAAAATAAAAACATTGGTTCAAATTCAACACTGCTTCAGCTTTATGTACAGCTGTGTTTGAAAGTTCACACACCAGCCAGAGATTTCCTTCTTTTGGAGAATATAGTAACACAAATACTGGTTTCCCCCAGCAACATTTTTCTTATTTTATTCTAAAATGGAAAAATCAATAAAAACAATAGAACCCCTCCCCCTAAACAATCGGCCTGGGTGTTTAAACTCAAGCACAGCTGTATATTGGTGCCAATAGTAGAAAATCTAATGCATCCTCACCACTGTTTGATATCTGAAATAAGTTGTTCTTCCCAAATTTCTTAAAAACATTGGATTTAATCTCCACGAACTGAATAAAAAAACCAAACAGGAAACCAATTATTAAAAGAAGTTTGAGCGAAACATCCGTGTGGCCTCGTGTACTGCACATGGACGTTCTTTTGTACTCTGTGTGTGAGTGTGTGTACTGACGTTATTGGACATCATGATGGTCAGCAGGGACTTATTGTGCGAGTTGAAGGCCACGTTGAGTGTGGAGGCGTGCACCATGATGAGGATGGCATGGAGAACTGGACAATGCTCAGGGAAATACAACATTCAAAAGTGGCTTCTACTGTAGAATGCTTTGTGTTTGCATTTCATTTTGGATTATAGCCTTTATGTGCCTCAACACGTTTCACACTGAGCACTGGGGGAGTGTCTCAGAACTTGACATTTAGCCCACCTAGCAACCTACTCTTTTAGTGAATAACAAATGTAGGCCCTATCCAGATTAAGACAATACGGTGAATAGTTGAACCATGTTGAACCGGTGAACCATACTGCAGAGTAGACGGAACCGGCTCTGAAAATAAATGTGCATGCTAGGGCTGATGACGGGGCTGGACACACCAACTCAGACAGAAACGCATCGTACGCCTCTACCTCCACCATTAATTTAAGAAAAAACAAAAACAGTGCTAACGCCAGCTTAAAGCTAGTTTAGTAAAAAATACAATCAAATCGGAAGCCATTCCCTCGACAACTTATTCTTCAAACAGATTTGTATAACTCTGTGGTGTTATTAATATTTCCTTCTAGACACGTGTGGCGGTGGTGATGATCCTGCTGTAAACATCATACAGTCTGTGTCAGTACAGACAGACTGATCACAGAGCTGGAGCGATGATGGCGTCATAACTTACATAAAGTTCTATATTAGTAAAAGCAGAGAAGCGCATTTCCAACTCATTCACTATGGGAACAATATGGACGAGAACAGAATTTGGTTTATTACCACCGTGTAGGAAGGGAATGAATAATGACATGTGAAAAGTAGCTCTTGAGCACGTTCACTTCTTGAAAATCTGACACTCTTCCCACTATTGTCCCAGGTCGACACAGGGCTGCAGCGTGGAAAAGCCTTTCACAAGAGTTCTATGTTATTCTACCTGTCGACTTTCGAGTTGATTTACTGTTTTTATTGGTTTTGGCTGTGTTCAAATAGTGCCCCATGAATGCACCTTTCTTGCCCAGTACTACTACGACTAATCCTCCTATTCCTGTTCAACACACGTGTGAAGGATACAGACATAGACCACGGCCATCAAGAAGTGGGGGATGACTCCGATATTGTCCCTCTTTCGAGCTTTGGGTTCAGTGGCAGTCCAGTACAGAGCATCCAGGACGTCCTGACCGATCGAAGAGAAGAGTCTGTCTGCTACCTGCACAGAAATCACAACCACAGCTGCTGTACTGTATCCACCTGTCAATCAATTGCTGACGAATGGGACAATATAGTTTAGGGCTCAGTATTTATCAAACCCGGGAGCTTAAAAATAAAAGTTCTTGAATTCTAAGTGCACATTTGGTCATTGTTTTTTTAGTTGATTCACAATGTGTCACAACTTGTACCACAGTCCTCGTTTGTTATCACAATTGTGGGGTGGCTACAAACTACCAAGGAGTTTTGGAAGTAGAGCAGTTGCAAGATTATGAATGTCACGATAAGCAAAGTCTTTAATTTCTGAATAAAATACAGTATTTGATGGGGCTATTAAGTCTTGTTTGCACGCTTTGTCTTTCTGACCTCCAGCATGTTGTAGATGATGTAGAGCTTGATCACAGACTGGCCGCGGATCAGGTGGTACATCATGGCGTAGTCCACGTAGTGCATCATGGAGTAGCAGAGCACCAGAATCAGGCCTTTGAGGATGTCGCACACCTGGGCCGGCTGCAGCAGGCGGCTCCCACTGAAGACAACACGAAAACAATATACTTTGATTTAGAGGATTACAGATAGGCTTTATTTAATGTCATCACACATTTTACATTGACAGTGATATGGAATCTGGATGGTTCTGTGCTCATCATGCAACATGTCAACAATGCAGGCAACAAAAACAACATGGGACATGGTGGTTTATGAAATTAACCATTTAACAACACTTTTAAACTATAAGAGGTCATTGCTAAAACCATGCATGTATTATAATCACAGAATTAAGTATTGCGCTATCCTAAGCTGGTCTCCTGCAGGTCACCCACGGTACTGCTGCCTAATTTAATTTGGCTGCACGAGAAATGTTTCCATAGACCTCAATGTTAAAAGAAACGGCTCATCCTCAGCTGACAGGGAACCTAGAGCTTTCTCAAAGGTCAGATTCTCGTCATTGACTAAAAACCATGGCTAAAACCCATTAAAGCCCATGGCAGGTTAAACTCTACTTTTCACAAAATACAGATGATAATATATAAGAATTTGCTAAATATTTTACTCATTTCAGATTGGCCATATTTTTATAAAGGAATGATTGATTTGGATTGAACCAATACAGATAACAATGGTTTTACATTCTGCTCTGTCGAGTTATTGGACAGAAGTGATCATGTAAGACATACACATAGAAGAAAAAACATTAGTCAAAGATGCCAATAAACAATAATAAAGACGATTCCTAAATGACAAGTTTATACTTAATTATGTACTAAATTATTCTTAATTTTTTGTTGTTGTCAATATTGTCTTCAAAAACTGTGGCTTTATCAGTGTGAAAATATTATGTGATTAATTTCCTCTTGAGAACACATTAGAAGTTATAACCTAAAAGAAAAACAATCTTATACAATTTTTATACGACATGCAAAGTAAAGTCATGAAAAATCCAAGAATACTATACTTATTCAAGATGTTTTTCACGGCCATTATTTCAGAGAAACCCTGCAGACATCCCGTAGGAAATTCTTGCACTTATTCACAGCCTGTCAAAAGGACTTATGTCATAATTATTAAACACTAGAATGAAAATGTGTCCTTCTTTTCCTTGTCGAGAACAAATGTGTTTAATCAGGCGTCTGTGGAGCATCTCACTGCTGCATTTCACATCAGCGATTACTGTGCGCACTACAAAAAAAACATTGATTGGACTAGAGCTGACCCACAACAGCTTACTGTGATAAGAGACAATGACTTACAAAAGAATAAAAAAACAAGATGATTAGAAAACTAGATGCTTGAGAATAGGAGCTTCATTTTGGGGTAGCATTAGATTTGACACTAATTAACTATTTGCAAGGATGAGCCGGTTAAAACAGGATTGTTGCCAGTGATCGAGCAGTGATGGATGTGCTTCTACAAACACAAGAGCAGATAATGAGATCGTTTTCTTCGCTGAGTTTTATGAGACAGTGACTCACACTAAACAGGTTTTATAATTTATTTTTTTACTACTAACTATTTTAGCATTTATAGATGTATAACTTTCCTCTGGAATAGAAGATTTAGCATTAACAATGACTACAAGTGGTGCTCAAATATAGTAAAATAGATGTCGTCAAATCTATACTGAGCACGTGATCAGTGCCGTTATGTGCAGACGAGACTAACATTTATCACCATAATGGGCTTAAATGTTCGGGTTTGAGCTGATAATGTTTTAACACCAGTGTCTCCCAAAGTGGGGTCCGCGGCCCCTTGGTGGGCTGCGAAGGTATTGCAGTGGGGCCGCGAGAGGTCATAAAAAAATAAATAAAGTCTTATATAATTATTGTATGTTAAATAAATAATATTTTGTTTGTAATATTAAAATATTTGTGTTCATTATTTAACTTGAATAATCAAATTGTAATCATTTTTTTATTACAAAATTGGGTGCGTCATTTACATGTTTGTAGCAGAGGCTATATCCCCCAAATAAAATAATGAGAAGAGCCTATTTTTAACGTTGTCTTCTTGGTTATTAATTCGGGGGGCGCGCAGACCCGTCAGATTTTTAAGGGGGCCGCGGTGTTACTGACTTTGGGAAAGGCTGCTCTATACAGTCCTAGTGTTGTTTATGGTCTCTGCACTCAGAATTGGCATAACAACTGACTAATCCAGTCCCAGGATTTGGCTACTGGACCAGCCTCGCTCCTGCATGGCTCTTTGGTTGCTATGGAGGTTGCTATGACAGAAGCTTGCTCTGTGCTTTTCATACTCTCAGTAAAACTCACGCAGCTTTGGTGTCTTACTTTGGGCTGCTTGAAATGCATACAAAGTGCATATGGCTTGATAGATAACTTAAGAAAATGTAAACAATACATTTCAAAGGGCCTTTTGAATTGATAATTGCAGAACAACAATGAGGCAAAACCTGAAAATGATTTAAAAAAAATTCTGCTAAGCACGTGCAGAAAAACGTAGAAAAAGAAAATAAATATGTTCACAAAGAGTAGAATGAAACCTCATAGATGTAGGTGCTGTGAGATGCAGATAGGCTGGTACCTGGTTCTGTGGCAGTAGGGACAGACGTGAGTGCGGCTGCAGCAGAGAGAGAACACACACACTGCTATACACTGTGTACACCAGCAGGGACACCACACTATTTCATTAACTATAGTGTCATAGTTATCAACCTCATTGCTATTAATAGGGATTCCCCGGACCAACATAAATATTATTATTAATCCAGGAAAATGATAGCCTGGTCGTACCACACCATAGTACAAATTATATTTTGTACTAAGGTCTGGAGGTGCTCCATTGAGCCCCAATAACAGGTGGGAGGGGTTTACCGTGACATATGTTGTGCGCCAGAGTCTGTCGTTAGCATTTAGCATTTAGCCCAACCATCTCCTTTGCCACTAACGGAGCCCGTGGGGAGTAGCGCCACAATCTTTGCCAGCAATTACATTTGCTAAACATTCCTCTTGCTCCGGCTCCAATTTCTTGAAGTAGTTTGGCAAGTTTTGCCATTGCCAAACTACTACCAGCCCATTCGCTGCAAACTCTTAACATCATCCACAACTAACTACAACACCTGCCTCCCGCACTCTCTGATTGGTTGGATGGAATTCAACCGGTTGTAATCGCTAACATAGACCAGACCCAGACGTTAATACAGGGAAATAATGATTAAGCAGAGTGTACGGATGTCTAAGGCCAGGCTAGGAAAATGACATTGGATATTGTGGATAGTGTGGGAATCCATTTAAGGTAGAAACTTGAAGCAGAACAGAGTATCTGTCCTGGAAAAGCTTTGTGCATTGCTATTATAACAAACATTGATAGAAATGTTTGACATGAGACTATTACTACAACCACAACAACCACTCAACAGAAACACGTATTGCAGTGACAGTCAGTATCAGGCGAGCTGCTACAATAAGATCATACCTCAAATTCCAAGATTTCACAAAATCTGTGTGTGTGTAAGTTTATGTGTGTGGATGTGAAAGGCAGCATGAGCAGACGCAGCAGGGCCAGCAGCACCCTGAGTGGCAGCAGGGTGATGTGTGTGTGCGTTGTGCGTTATGTGTTGCGTTCACATGTGTGGATGTGGTTACCTAAAGCCGCAGCAGGGCAGCATGAGCAGGCGCAGCAGGGCCAGCAGCACTCTGAGTGGCAGCAGGGTGAGGGCGTACAGGAACGCGTCCATGCACAGGAAGAAGCCAAACAGCATCAGCTACAGCACAAAACAACCAGCGGCAGGTCACACACAGGCATAGGGGCTGTCACCAGAAGGACTCGTATGGATGACATTTTGTGTCAGAAAAAAACATTGCAATAAGCTATAGTATTTGAAACTATAAATTAAAGCTGGGCTACCTCATTTTGGTTTCATTAATACATTTTGTCCCAACAGAAAGAGTCTTGTTTACAACAGAAAGAGTCTTGTTTACAACAGAAAGTCTTGTTTACAACAGAAAGAGTCTTGTTTACAACAGAAAGAGTCTTGTTTGTGAACAGAAAGAGTCTTGTTTACAACAGAAAGAGTCTTGTTTGTGAACAAATCGGACAGCATTTCTGATTAGACATTATTTTTTACACACTGAGCTGATGCAGAGTGAGGGCTGATGATCTGATTTTCTGTTTGAAGAAGCTGATCTAAGATGTGACAGAGGTCAAAAATACATGCATGTGAAAACTTGTGATAGTTTTGGGAATTTAAAAAACATACATGATTTTTATTTTATTATATAAATACACACATATTTTTGTGTGGTTTCAAAAGTTAGGATACTCAAGTCACTCATGTCACACAAACAGATACAACAAAGCTGTGTAATCCTACTAAAGGGTTTCCTACATTTCTCCATTTAAACAGTAGAATTAAGTAGTACTCACTCAACCTTCTATGACTACAACCATGATCATATTACAAGACAATGGCTAAAATATAGAAAAAATATTGTTGAATTCAAATTCTTGCATAATATTCATAATAATAATAATTATGTATTCTAAAACATAAACACAAATAATTAGACCTTCTCATGATGACTCAAATACCCCAATCAATGACTGCGACACATGAGTGTTTCTTACCTGAACGTCCAAAGAAATACTACGTTTTCTTTACGCATCGACAAAATGCTCCTTCTGTTCTGTCTCTTTGTTAAACTCAGCCTCCACTGAAGACCAAAGGGTTGATAGAAGGGAAACGGCAACATCTTGAATATACTTTCTACTTATTAGACTTTCAGATGCATTTGTTTCCTCAGGAGGAGGATGTATTAATTTCCTCTTTGGAAATTTTATTTTATTTTATTCTAAACATTTATCCATTTCTATTATTTTGTGAATTGTATCTGAAAAGTTATTTTCCGGCAGAGACAGACATGGTCCATCTGTAGTGACTGCCATCTTGTGGACCATAAGAGAAGTACAAAAACACAATGACCACATAACTTGATTTTGCAAATATGTTTCAATGGTACTTTTACAGGATCATAGTAAATATGATTTTGACATGGTTCTAGTACATTACAGTTTTTTGTGATATATCCAAGACTTCTCAATATGTTTCAATGTCTGAAAAAATGTTTGCTTGTTTTTGTAACAAAAATGGGACTGCCTCCAAATGAAAATGAGGACCCATGATAAATTAAATATTGTATTGAGTTCATTATAAAAACACATTAATGTGGACAGTGGGCCGTAGTCCAATCCAATACCACCATGATGTCATCCTATGGAACACACCTTCTCCAGCTCTTTGGGGACCTGCATGCACCTGTAGACCTTCTCCCGCTGCTCTGTGTACTGAGCCTCATTGTGCTCCAGGAAATACCCGCTGGTGAGTTCTGTGCCCATGAAGCGCGACAGCGACGGCTCTGGAACACAGCACAACAGATGTGAACCCTTTGTGTCACACAATCACAGCCAGAGAGAGGACATGGAAGTGGAACAAGAACATTCATAAACAAACATTACCTGGGGCACACTTGTCTGTTTGAGGTCAGGAATAGTTCAATCGAATTCACACAGGAATTACACAGAATAGTAAAGAAATCTGTAAAATCGTGCAAGAAAAATCAGACTACTACATGTGTCTAAATGTCTCCAAATAGAAAACAGAGAAGCCCTATACTTGATGCTTTGGGCTGAGAGCTGATGTGAGGAGGTCCTCTCTGAATAAGATCTAAAAAAACTAGTTTGGCAAGGAACAAATTAATTTGTTCAATGTTGTTTGTTTAATGTTGTTTGTTTAATGTTGTTTGTTTAATGTTGTTTGTTTAATGTTGTTTACTTTGTATTGTTTTTTTGCAGTTTTGAAATTAACTGCTCCAGCTTTAAAGTTGTGTCCACTGTATTGTTCTGGTATAATGTAGTGCATAGAGTTTGGGATTTGTCCTGCTGTATTCTATTTTGAGTGTTTTGCTTCCAATGTAGTTTTTTTAATTTTTTTGAAAAACACTGAAACAAACAAAATGCTGCACATCTTCAAGAAAACTGTTACAATATTATACTTTTATTTGTTGAATCTGAATTTGATTGTGGTTCTGACCCACTGTATTCAACAAGCCAAGTGACCCTAAACAGTCTTGAATTCCACCCCAGTGCTCCACTATGAGCAGTGAACTGTCACATACACTTTAGCGGACCACAGCGTTGGGGTTAATCGTTGCGGTTAAAGTGTCCTGTCAGTTGAGGTCAGTAAATATATCCCTCCTCTAAACACAGGCAGGGCCAAAACGATAACAGCTGCAACCATGAACTTAAAATAAAGTAATAGTGGCAGACAACTGCAAGTTGTAGTAGTGAGAGTGCGCTACAGTCTCACAATTAGAATGAACAAAAACAAAGGAAAAATATATATTTATTTTAGATTTATATTATTTTTTTTCTAACATGTTTAATAAATTGTATTTACATTGAATTAATTTTAAATAATGTTTACATAATCAAACTGTCGCTAGTATGAAGCTAAAATTGCTAATGTCAATGATGCATTATACCATTTTTAACATATGTTACTGGTTTTCATCACAAAAAAAACGGGTGATCTCCTCAAGCTTTTCAACAAAGGATTCCTGGATCCGATTGTTTGTGTTTTATGTGTTTTTAAGATGCAAATAGCAATGTAGTCATATCATGTCAATTAGCAAGGTTAGTATTGCATGCAGTAATAGTAGTACTATAAATAATTGTAGTAGTATCAGTACAGTAGTATCAGAATCAGTAGTAGCAGCAGTATTTTTAAAACTTACAGCAGATGGCCTACACACCCACATCTATGCACAAATGCACTTTGACTTGTAGATTACTTTTGCCTTGGAACCAACAAGTGCTGTATCTTTAAATATTCATACAATATAGAGAGATCATGCAATTACCACAAGAGGAGTGCAATGTGTGACTCCTGCAGGCCTGGATACTAAGATGTTGACTTTAACTTGAGTTTTCCAACAATAATGCCAACTAATTAAACAAACTCTAAGCTTTTGTGTTGACTTTAGTAACAGAGAGTGGTTTTTAGATGCTGTTACGTTTGCCTGAATTGTTGCCAGTATGAAAGCAAAACAATAATAATATAAATGGACAATTGTCACCATTTCTAACATATGTTTAGTCCATCACACAACATATACTTCCTGGATCAGACCATAGCCATCGTCTCATAGTGTGTGTTAGACATGTGATTCTGCAGAGTGCACTGTTATTACCAGGACAGTGCTGCTCCTGCTCCCCGCTCGCCTGGTTCTCCTCTTCCCACACATAGCCCAGGGTCTCGGGGTTCCCTGCTGTGAGAGGCATGGTTCCAGCCTGTGAGGACCGGTGTGAGGGCTGAGGGTCTTCCCAGGGCTGAGTGTGCCTCCTCCGCAGGGACTCGCCGTCTCTCTCCGCTGACAGCTCGGTGCCTGGGTCTGCTGAGGCCGCCATGTTTGTGTGGAGTGTTTTTCCTAGGTGAGTTTAGGCACTGGAATCAGTCTCAGCCAATCAGAAGCTTGTCCAAAGTTACGCGTTCTGTACGTCAGCAGACCACGGTGAACGAGCCTACTTGCGTTAAGCCAATTTCTATCCCAAAAACTAAATACCTTCATAATTATCTGTGACAGAATATATTTGTCCTTTTGTAATAATAATAATACTAAAAAAATAATAATAATAAAATTTAAAAAACCGTTATGCAAGAAACCAGTGCTTATCCCACACAAACATTCCCATTTTGTTTTCTGCCTTGACTCTTGACTCAATGCCCCGTTCGCTTTCTGATGGGCCTAGATTGGTCACTGTGGCTAAACTCACCTATGAAAAAAAAAATCGCGGGGGGAAGGAGCACTACGTCATCATCTTCTTCTTCTTCTGTTGAGTTTTTCCTTTTGCTGCTTTCCCCGCCACCCAGTGTATGTTTTAGATACCTGCACTTATCGTTGTATGAAGAGATAGTCAGTTTTATGAATGTCAGATCCTCCTCAGGACAAGTAAAGGAAAAGAATGAAACAAAATAGACCCCAATGTTAATCCCCATTAATAGGCTTTTTCTACCCAAATCATCTGGATTTTTTGTGCAGGATCATATCTACACTGTCTGCTTTCTGCTGAAGCTCAGATGCACTGTTGACAATGAAAGCAATGAAAGTCAAGTAGCAAGTTTTATTCACAAAAGTACATTATTAGCGATGTTCTACTTTTGTGAAGCTATGAGGACCATTCTACTTCTTGTTACTCAAACTGGATAATTTACTCCTAATTTTTGATTTACAATCCCACAATAAAAATCCCATCTTCTTTAGTGATGGCAGTCAACAACATAAGATAATATAGGATAAACTTTAGTGATCTCACAATGGAGAATTTTACAATGATTATACTAATATAAAAAAATGCATAATTATAACTCCATCCTTATAGTCACCATTGTTTAACCTGGATTTGTTGTTGCTGGCTTGTCAGCTTTGTGTCCATGAAGAGATACAACCACCTCTTCCACATAACAGACGTTTTCATCTGAACCCTTCACATTGCTCTTTAGCCCTTGTCTTTGTATGAGACCAATGTTCAGTGTTGTTCCAAATATATGTTTGCTTTAATTTTGGTTTGTGTATTCATCAGTGTATTTCCCCGAGAGTGTAAGTAACCATGCAATTTAGTTTGGCTCATTTCTTGTAACTGAAATTACACTCTCACAATAACATGAATACACTACATATCACATTGTACAGTAGTTGTTGAAAACTGAATGTCATTTTCTCATTGATTCACAAAAATCCATATGTCCTCATTTACATGTCTCAAGTGTCTCAGTGATCTTTACAAATGGTTCCGTACAGTTGCAGACAGTCAGCACAAGCCTCATTAAACACATTTTACAAATAAATACATGTTGCTGAATTAAACTTGAAACAGTTGATTCTCAGTCTCAGTCTCCAAAACACGTGAGCAAGAGTTCACTGTGAAAGCCTGCAGCCCACGCACCATTTGTGCATATGGCATGTTATATATTGTTTTAAAGCTAATTTTATCAATGAAACAACCACGTCATTTACTTTACCATAAACTTTGAACCGTGAATTCAATAGGTAATACATTCACCTTACATTTTATACATTTAAAAAAAAGTCTATAGTCTTTCCATGGACATTACTTTATGTTTGTGAATTAAAGGAAATTGGTTATTATTTTATTAGCAGCATAATTTTTTACTTTTATACATAATTATATTCTATTTCTCTTCCATATTGACAACGTATCTAAGCATTTTGACCTGCAGTGCTCACACAATGCAGGGTTCTGACGCCACAGGAAACAGGACTTTAGTTTTGAGAGATATATACAGTATACTGTTGTTTCAATGTGAACCAAACCAATGACTGTATTTCATTTATTCTACCACTCACTCCACCGACAGCCCTTTCAGAATAAAATATGCAATTAATGTATTTTATTTTTTCAAAACAAATAAATATCCACGTGTGAATCAAAAATGCAGACAGGCTCCTTTTGCACTTATCCGATTGGCTCCCTGATTGTGATCCATGTCTTACCTCTGTTTGTCCACTTGATGGCAGTAATGGTCCATGTGTGTGTGACGCTCTTTCAGAGTTTCCCCAACAACAGTCACCACCTAGGGCTTCACCATCATGCTCCACTTCTGTGTGTGCAGTGTTTGTTCTGAGGAACTGTGGGCCACAAAATACACTGTAACCAATTATATATTCACAATAAGTGACTGAGGTGTTTGTGAGCTGAGGTTGTCCACACCAAACCCAGTGGCAGTTGGGTGTTTTGAAAGTTTGAGGACTCTTTCTTGATCTATTGTTATTGTTAATATTGTGTATTGCATTGATAAGATCATTTTTCAATTTGTTTTTGCATCACCCTAAATTACAGTTCAAATACAGGGAATGCAATGATAAAAAAACATTTTGAGCCATAAGTCCAGAACAAATGACCAATGTTCATAAATGTTGATAGATGTCCATAAATGTCTTTGAATGTCAAATGTCCTGGATCATCACCACTGTCCTGTGACCCTCCTGCATCGGCAAGGAAAAACTCTAAAAACTCATTGGGAGAAACCTTGGGGAGGCCAACAACAAGGCAGGAATCCGCTCTGACGACGGACGAGCTATAGATCCAGGACTCAGGCTGTAGAACGAGGACCGTAGCCACACGATGCAGGATTTTCCAAACTATTCATCATTGAAATTATTGTAAACTAATCTAATAATCTAGTATTCAAATATTTGCCTTTTCCAACCTCATTTATGGATAGAAAAAGGGCGAGAGATGACAAACTAACAACAAAAACACAATGGTCTTAATGGTTTTAAACTTGATAAAAATGTGGACTGCAGGCTTTCTGCAATCAATAACTAAATGTCCAAATGAAATAAATATGTATATTATATATAGTCCTAAATATGTTTTCCATTGTTTAAAATCCAGGAGTTGCACCACTTTTTACCTACACATTATTAGTGTATGTGTATATAACATGGAATACTGTTGAAATATATCTGTAACAAACTCAGTCATGGTTCAGTCACATTAGTCTCATCCTGCTGTGATGAGTGTTCTGAATCCCCGGGTTACTTACTCTTTAACACTGATTAAATGTATTGCTCAAGGACACACCAATATTAGTCTCTGCTCTTCCTGTTCGGGCTGAAACGGTCCATCGACTTTAACAAAGAACTCGATTGCAAACCGGTTCCAGAGTACTCAGGTTGCAGACATCAAACATCAAACATGATCTATTATTTAAGATAATACATAAAATAATAAGATAATAAAATAAAGTCTGGAGCTACAATTGCACTTGGTCCAAGGATAGTACACGGAGTATACACTGTAGTGAGCAGGAAGTATTTACAGATGTTCATATTGTACTTTAGCAGCAGGAAATGACCTGCATAGACAATATCAGCAGGTAAAGTGACAAGTATATGACAGAAATATCAGATGAATGGAATTAACATGTAATAATGTAGTAATAATGATAACAACAACAACAGGTAAAGTGACTGGTGAATTATCAGCACAGGTGAGTATAGACACATGTATAGACTCAGCAGTTCTCATTGTACAGTCTGACAGCAGCAGGAAAGAAAGACCTGCGGAACCTCTCCTTCAGACAGTGAGGGTGGATCAGTCTCTCACTGAAGCTACTTTCCAGAGCAGGGGGTGACATGGTCCAGCACAGCCTTTTATAATAACATCTCAGAAATCCCATTATCCCACTATGCAACTTTTAATGTGGGAAATGTTTTTAAATATATTTTTGCATATTGGATTTAATTGTCCCCTGGTGACTCAGCATGGTGTCTTTACTTTTGACTATTGTTTTGCTCCAGGGTAAGATAAGATCCCTCGGTGGACAGCAGCAGAGCACTCAGATTATGCCACATCAAACGGGAATTATTGTTTAATATAATACCTGCATCATGAGGTATTTACAGACAGTTAGTTTGTACTTTAACAGCAGAGAATGTGACCAGAAAAAACAACAGTAATAATAACTACAGCAGGTACAGTCACTAGTTATTTGTCAGAACAGATACATGGCACAAGTTCAGACGGTCCTATCGTACAATCTGATGGATGCAGGAAGGATCAATTGTTTTGTTGAGAGTCCTTCCACACTTTTGAGTCAAATATGCAAAATTACCATCACATAAAAAGTGCCCCTTTGTTATGTTTTTAAGGTGAAATTGCAAATAAATACTAAAATAATCCATAGATGCAATCCTAATTCCTGAACAGCAGGAATTAAGATTGTTAATTGTTATCGTAGTGTCTATTTGTGTCCTTGGTCTTCATGTTGGCTGCACCGCAATTGTCCATGGAGATCAAGTAAAAAGGGATCAAGTATTCTCATGTATTTTTCATTTTTCATATATAATTGTCGATATTTTCATTATTTCAAGGTCCAATCTAATCTAACTTCCAAATTAACACATTGTAAACTTAAACTTAAAATAAATGAATGTTCTAAAAGTGCATTTCAGTTTGCCAATAAAACTATGGGAGTTGTGTAATCTTTCTTTGCTTGATCATCAATATTTGACAGTAATTAGATTCACAAATCCACTGTTATTCTCATGAAAGGTTTTTCAAATGGCCAACATCTTTCCTAAGTTTTGTCATCATTTCTCTATACGCATTTATAATCAAATAATTAGACCAAAGTTTATATGCAGAGACAAAGATGAGAGACTTTTGTTTTTGTAGATTGGCTCAGGAATGACAGAGAAACTAGCTCTAAATCTGACTATTGACACTTACCACACAGTTACCGTAGTAACCAGGACACATTTTCATCTGCCCACTGTATGTAAACTATAGACTTAGGAACACACAACCTATTCGAACAAAGATTCCTCAATGATGGTCGTTTTGTCCCATTCCTCCACCTTCCCATGGAGTAAGGCAGTATCAAGTAAAAGGCGAAGCAGTAAAGTCTTAAGCACGGTTTATTGGCACAGATAATGGTAAAGCATACATACCAGACAGATATGACACTGAACACCTCTGCTATATAATGTACAAATGGTGTCTAATATTACGAGGCTCAAACATATTTAGAAATGTCTTCGCTTCCTTACAAATGCACAAATAAATACCCAGGGTCCAATTGTAAAAAGATGTCCATTGTTTTTCCATTTCCTTTTTTTGGTCTTTTTTTTTCCAAACAACAAAAACGCATCGGGGAAAAATATCAAGAAAGAATAAAGATAAACACAATTACTGATTTTGTCGAGCATTTCTGTTGGATGGATAGGACTCGGCTGCAAAAATATTATTACAGAATGTACATTAACTTAAATTGGCTGTTAATTAGTGGCTTTGGCTCCGCACTGAAAAAATACATTTGAAAAACCATTGTCCGTACACCATTCAACAGAAATGCAATTCCTGTACAAAACTACAGCTGCCATTTTGCCAACCTGACAATTCATATTCCACATTATTTACATAGCTACAAATCTTTTTAAACAGTGTTCCCAAACTGATTTTATATATAGATATATCAAAAAAATCTTATTTTTTTTTTTCAACGTTTATTTTTCATTTTTTGGAAAATTACATATGACAAACAAAACCAGATCATGCAGGCTTACCATCAGTTTGGGAATAGGTCAGTTTTTTTTTTTTTTTTTTTAAAGGGACCAAATTTTCTTTCCAAAGGATCACAAAATATGATTGGGGTTTGTAAGGATAAAATAGCAGTAAGTAATACCACAACACAATCAAAGCGGCCGGCACGATATCACCACGTGTGGCCGTAAAAAACCATCTCTGAAAGCTCATTCCCAAAGCAGTCCGCGTTCTTTAGTTCCCTCTTTAATTGCAAATTGAAAAAAGCAGCAGTCGAGAAACAAACCCACTGGATTCGCCGGGAAAAAAACAAAAACAAAAAAACAAATTGCCTCAAAAACAATGAAAGAAAGTTTTCTGTTTTTCATTTTTGGGGAGATTTTGTGTCGCTCTCCCCTCCGGCTTTCAACCAATCCGATATTGATCAAATGATGGATGAATTCTCCCATTGAAGAAGGAAAGAAAAGTTGTTTTGTTTTTACATTGTCATACACACATTTGTATGTCTTTATGGGTATTGCTGGGACGAACTTCACTCCAAAACTCTCACTGTCCGGAGAAGTGTCCAAAATATGAGCTGAAATCTGCAAAAACTGAAATCTGCATTGATTGAAATGACTTGTGTCCAGAGCGTTTGAGCAGGCCTTAGTTGTGTAATCAGAATGCTGACTTTCAAAGCAGTCCATAGCTGTGTGATAATATATTTGTTATTGAATCCTTCCACTCAAATGAGAACTACACTGAAAACAATGTTAAAATGTTCTAAAACTTGTCAAAACAATTTGCCTACAAACGTTCCAGTTAAAATCACGTGTCTCTGTGAGGTTAGTGCATTCTGTAAAGCACAAAGTCTCAAATCAATTTACCTTTTATAAAACATACAATGTAAAAGCAATGATTCAAAAATATATAACAAAAGTGAGTGTGTCTTTACTAATAAATTTCTCTTGGTTGCTCAAATCAGAATAATAAAGCAGATAATAACTTACATTGGAAACTTTTGCATTAATATTGTTGGTAATTCATTCACAAACCTCAAAAAGACCCTTTGGAGCAAACAAAGGGCTGGACTCTTTGTGAAGCTGTGGCACAGTTTTGAAAGCTTTCCCTTTAACAGCCAAAGAATTGACCTGAAAATCAGATTTAGGGACCTTTAATAAAGCACAGAGCTCCAGAAAGAACATGTGACCACACTCATGTGACTCAAACTCTAGTCCAACAGTGTGATCACACACTGTTGGACTAGAGTTTATTTGTGAATTTTAAGTTTACAATGGTTTCATTTAAAAATGTTTAAAATGACTGGAACTGCTTTTAGTATGTGCTTGTTTTTAAATCTTCTTTCACGTTGTCAAATAGTTTTTTTTCTCTTTGGTAGTAGTAGTAGTAGTAAGTAATCTTTATTTATATACCGCCTTTTCACTGCAGATCTGAGTCTCAAAGCGGTTTACAATTGTTAATTTTGGGCATTTGTCTCTCACTCCACACAGAGATGGGAGCAGGGTCACCAGTACAGGAGGCGCATGCTAGAACTATTGGACATATTTTTAGTGGTAGGGGAAACCGGAGTACCCGGAGGAAACCTACGCAGACACAGGGAGAACATGCAAACTCCACTCAGAAAGGCCCTGGTCCGACCGGGATTCGAACCCAGGACCTTCTTGCTGAGAGGCGAGAGTGCTATCCACTCAGCCACCGTGCCGCTTTGGTGTTTGTTCTCTTGTAAAACTGGGTATTTTTGCTGACAAAAACAAAAAAAGTAAAATAGCGCAACATCCAGACGTCCCAGTTCCGGTCCAAAATGTTGTGGACAAATCAGACCACTACATGCCGTCTTAAGAAGAGAATAATGTTGTCATAAGGAAACATAGTGCATACTGAATAAAAAGCGCTGATTGGCTGACTGATGATGGATGTCTCTTTTTCACTTTTATGTCTGAAGCTGATCCAAAGATCAGACGTGAAAACTAGTGAAAGAACCAAACTGTTTTGAAGAACTCGTAAAGGGATTTTGTTACAATTACATTATGTGGTTTAGAAGTTAAGTACCCCAGTTTTAAGGGTTAATTCATAACTTGCTCTTCTGACAAAGTCATTTCAACCAATGCAGAAAGCCTTTAAAGCAGCTCCTCTCCCATCGTCCCGTGGTGCGCTCTTATTGAGTGGGCTGTGCGGCGGTGCTCTCGGCCTTCCCCTCCGCACCACTAGGGGGCTTGGTGGCCCAGGGTGCGCTGTTGTGTGCTGCCAGCGCAGGGGAGCTGTGGAAGTCGTCGTCGTCGTCCAGACCGTTAGTGGCGTCGTACTGCGTGTTCTCCAGCCGCGTGATCAGCCGCTCGTCCTCGTCTCCAAACTCACCTCCCATCAGGGTCGGCTCGCCCACCACCATCACGTCCTGAGGGAGAGTTCAGAGAGACGTGGTGTAAAACAACAACTAAAAATATGTACAATAGGTCTGGCATGTGCCTCCTGTACTGGCACCCCCACTCCCAAAAATAACAATTGTAAACCGCTTTGAGACTCCGATGTGCAGTGAAAAGGCGGTATATAAATAAAGATTACTTACTTACTTACTTACATGTACAAACTTTTAACAGCAAATATCCTCTGGGTTCATCCTGTTTACACTCACTCTCACACTCACACGCAGTGAGCGACGTGCACCTCTACGTGCACATCTACAAACCGGTTTGTAGAAGCCATCACAGATACAAAAAACACAAATACATACAACCAAATGTGTGTTCATACAATGACTTCAGGCCTTGAAATTAACATGAACAAGCGGCTTTTTGTCATGACAAATGAGCGGCTTCATCATTGGAGAGGAAAAGAACCTAATCCACTACCACCACAAAGACCTCAACACACCCTTTTGAGAACTGGGGCCTTATGATCAGGGTCAGAAGAGGAGTTTCTAACCTCATTTTTATTTGAAAATAGAAAACAAGTCTATTATATAATAAAGGGCTTTACACAACCAACAGTTTTGAGTGACAAACGCATTTTGTGTTATTGTTCATAATCTCTAAAAAAGTCGTCAAAATATCACTATTTCTGTGTATGCTGCTGTTAGGTCAGCACACTGTAAAAGCGTGTCCTTTAACAACTACTCTCATATCTATGTCTCACTGACTGCAGGAGAACATCCAACAGATCAGTGAATGGATGCAACTTTCTTCATCTAAACTCAGACAAAACTTAAATGATTTTCTTTTGTCCTTGGAAACAAAGTGAGAGCGTCATCTGTGACCTCCAGTCTCTCTCCATAAAACCTTCAAATCAGGTCAGAAATCTAGGGGTAATACTGGACTTAAAGCTGCAGTAACTGACTTTGGGATATTGAAGCCGCGGACTCGCTGGCCTCTCTCTTTCTGCTCCCCTCCCCGCACCCACGAAGCTATCGCCCCCCCACACACACTCACTGTTGTTTACGGAGCTAGCGTCTCCCAATATGGATAATACATGGATATGGATTTGCACGTGGATGGCGTGACCATAGAACGATAGAACCGGGAAGCGCGGAGGAACGAGACTTTCTTTTGGATGGCTGTCTTGCTGTGTAAGCAGTAACCGGTGACGAAGACGTGAAGCTTCAGGTTACCTCCGCCGCTTGTTGTGCTAACTCAACCGTCTGTGCGCGAGGGACCTGTAGATTTCTCATGAAAGTGGGGGCTAGTGGTCCGCTGTGATTGGTCACAATCAGAGACCCGAAACACATTTTCTTCCTTGTTTCATCAAAACTCTATCTAAAATATGTCACGCCAGCACAAATCTGCGCTACTTTTTCTTCAAAAGGACGTATATCCCAATGCACTGCATGGACATGGATAGCATTTTCATAATGAATACAAAAATAAATTCAGTTAGTGCAGCTTTAATTCATAATGACCACATACAATCAGTAACATGATATCAGCAGCTTATTTCCACTTGAAAAACATTGTCAAAATCAAAAAAGAAATCTAATATGATTGAAAATATATAACTATGTTCAATGTATGGTGCAACTGAAGTGGCCTTGGGTCTCAAACATAGGTATTCTTTTGGCACACTAGAGGACATCATTACTGTCGGGTTAATATGATCATATGAATATATTATTTTAAATGTTATAAACAAAACAAAAATAACTGGACCATATTTATTACCTTAAAACATAAACTGTAAACGCAATTAGTAATAAATAAAAGTACATTTTTTTAGCCCTGCAGTCTACAAAAAGCCTCCGTTGCCCCTGGGCCCGTTTTGTTTCAAGCAGCCGCACTCTACTTTGTTCATATATGAAGAATATGTATCGCTCACATTCAATAAAAGTAACTATTTGGTAAAAATATGATTAGGTGCAGAAGCAAATGATGTGCTGTCTTCATGCATTTCTTGTTTTGTATTTTCTCTGTAATTGCTGTTTGTTTTGAGTCTTAGAACCACATTTTTAAGCACACGTGTGTAGTCTGTATAGAGACACTTCCAATGCTCTAAAGACAACTCCTTGTGTTAGGTTTGGCCTGCTTTAGCCGCGGCGTGCTCATGAATGCTCAAATGAGTGAAACGCATGCATATCTGTTTCATCTAATTCTCCATAAAGCGCCGGCTGAATATCAAGTGAACGCCCAGCGCACAGACCTACTTTTGCATGACTTCTCACACATGAATATGCATGTTGCCTGCTCCTTATGGTTCTCTTCTAAAATAATAAATGCCATCCACATGTAGCGACTGTAATCTTCACGCAATGTCACCCCCAGTTTAATTGAACATTAGTTTCGTCGGTCTTAAATAAACGTAATTTCCACAATCTGCTTTTGCCGTTAGCCTCACACGGCCAGTCCGATGCGGCACCAGCGCAGCCGCAGACAGCGGAGTCCCCAGCTCCAAAATCAATACTCATCATGTTCCTGAGGCTGGCCCCTCACAGCAGCACACCGCCTCTACCGTTTACCCATGATGCATCTGCGCTCCCATGTAAAGGAATGTGAGTATAGGGCCGTCAGAAACACTCGCTCAAGTGCACATCATGGGCGAAGTTTTGCTCCAGCACGTTCTGGATCCTGACTTACATAGTTCAGTAAACGATTGTGTCACAATCACCATTTTGGGTTTAATAAATCTGTGGTTTGGGGCACTCCATGATTCTGTGGTATATATTTTTCAATATTGTCTTTGTAGATCTATGTTTGTTATTTTCTTCTGTCTTGTCTGTCTGTTTAAAAAAAAAAAATTGACCTAAAGTCTGCAATACAGTTGAATTGAATGATGTATGAGCCAAAAGGATTTACATTGTTTTTTTTTTTAAGTTGTAACAATGGAACATGCAACACTGACACTAACAGAAGTGGAACAGTTTGCAATCATATTTCATATTTTTCCAAAAGTGGACCTTCTCTCAGTAGACCTACTGATGAATTGTTCAAGCGCACCCCCGCACCCCTCATTCCAATGTCTATGCACACACACACAAACACACACATACACAAATACATGCATGCACACACAAACACACACATACACAAATACATGCATGCACACACACACACACATACACAAATACATGCATGCACACACACACACACATACACAAATACATGCATGCACACACACACACACACACACACACACATACACAAATACATGCATGCACACACACACACACACACATACACAAATACATGCATGCACACACACACACACACACATACACACACACACACACACACACACACACACACACACACACACACACACACACACACACACACACACACACACACACACGTTTGTCTATATCACATCGTGGGAACACAAGACAAGGACATGCATCATGGGGACCAAAAGGAACCACCTTTTCTGAAGGTTCTACAGGACTGAAAAAAATCAGGTAAAATACTCTAACAGCCAGAAACCCAGATGTCACTTCAACTCTTCAATCAAACAAAGTAGAGAACTCTGACATGACCAGAACCAGCTTTCTGGGGACCAGTCATGTTTTTGTGACTCCTAGGGACACTGTATACACACCATCTGATTGTTATTCCTTTGTGTGGACAACTTTACACACATTCAAGGTTAACTTACTTGGTGGGGTCAGCTAAGACTAAACCATCTAATGGAACATGAAATATAGATAATGACCTTGTAATTTAACCATTAGCATATAATGTTGTTAGGGGTAAAATTCTTGGCATATTACAATAACTTTAAAATCCAATATGACAAGAGTAACTGTAAAATAAAATGTGTTATACATCTTTCTTCCACAGAACAGGAGTTTCATCAGGAGTTTGATGTTTGATGTCAGGACATGGTCACAATAAATAATTCTCATACTTGTAGTGCCAAAGATGCCATATTTATTTTGTTTTCCCTTTGCACACAGGTCATCCTAAATTTAAGAGCTTTGACAACCAAAACAGCCCAATGACAATATAATGTGTTCATTTTCAGTAACAAAAAGAAATCAAGAACATTTCCTGAGAAACAAAATGGCAGATTAAGTGAATCTTCAAATTACAAAAGTAAAAAAGGATTTAAAAATGAACATCAGCAACTGGAACAATCTGTAAGATTCACTTGTTTACTAAATAAACAGATCAATTACAACATTATTAGACTTTCTTTTTCAAACTTGTAATGCGATTTTTCACATAGAATTTAATGGCCAGCCAATTTCTGTTTTTAAGAGCCGTTTTTTCATTGTTTATGCACTTATCACAATCACTTTTCCCAGGAACTCGGCAAGATGTGATGAAAGACATCATGTGCCTTTCCACTGCAGCGATCTCATGCTCTTCCCACTTCTTTTTTATGCTTGGTTGCCGCCCTAGATTGACATACCAAAGTTATAGTAGTTTTTGTTTATATTTGCATTGTTTGGGCAACGGGCTTCAAAATGTGACTAGATTTACCTTTTGATCCTTTCAGTCGCATTGTATGTTTGCGTTTGTCAGCTGAGCCCTGTGTTGATGTCACCGTGTCCTGTGATGCATTCACATCTGTGTCCGCCTCCTGTGATGTATTCAAATCTGCTTCCTTCGTTGTGTCCCCATGCTCTGAGTGAAAATAACATAGAAATTAGTTTCAATTCATCTAAACTCATCCTAATTCAATTTGGAGAGACGAGAAAACAAGAAGCTTTTGAGTATTTTATTGGGAGGAGGTTTGGCGCCCTAGGCCCCGGTGCGGCCTTCAGATCGGAGAGGCTCCTGCGATGGAGCGTGCCAATCCCCCGGGACCTAGGCACTGGTGGCGGCATTTGGCAGCGGGAAGCAGATTGAAGGCAGATTGGAGGCAGGGTGAAGAGGGGGAGGCGGTGGTTGCAAGGCTTCGAGAAGGCCGAGAGTGGGAGTTTCTCCGCTTTTAAGCGGCTGCCTGCAGGCTTGTTGGAAAACTGCAGGTCTACTGTATCTGTGTGCTTGAGTTTTTTGCTATCCTTGTTGGACCTCTAACAAGTTGCTCTAGAGTATATTTATCAGTAATAGCTTTAAGTTTTTTCCTTTTCCCTTTATCTTCCCAGTTTAGATTGAAGTCACCCATTAAAATAACTTCTTTGTTATTACACTCTTTTAAGACACTGGTAAGTTCATCATAAAAACCCGAGTCATTAGCACTTGGAGGTCTGTAAAGTCCAATAATAAAAAACTGCATTTGTGGGGACAGGATGAGTTTTACAGCAACATATGTTGAGAAGTAAAGACGTGCTCCGGTGTTGAAGTTTGTATCCAGGTTTCCAAAATGCATAAAAAGTCTAGATTGGAGTTTGCTAATAAATGCTTCAGTTGATCAGCTTTAGATACAAGGCTTCTAATGTTCAGATGACCGCCAAAAAGTCCTTTCGGTTTTAGCTTGCGATCCCAAACTACTCGTGCATGGTTTACAGTCTGAAATAAGTGAAGAGACTTTTGCTTCTCAATAGCAGCAGCAGAGATCCGACAGGTTGAGCCACGGGTAAACCCACGTAAATCCACCAGTAAAATATGTGACTGCATAGGGTCACAGATAGGCGTGTCACGGGCTACTCCGTTTATCTGGATGTTCGGCAGAATACCACGGTCACTCACCTCCACGGGAGATTCATTCACGATATCCACCGTATGTGGTGGCAACAGCGATGCGTCATGAGCGACCGGCCCGAGATTCAGATGGACGTCCCCGGATAAAAGCAGCAACAGGAGTAGAAGTCTGCACGTCTTTCGGGAAAGTGTGGTAAGGTTACGTTTCACGGTGGCTTGTTTACATGGGTCTCCCGGTGTTGCATGGCTATGACGTAACACAGCGGAGAAAATCACATAAAGGCCATATATATTGTGGTGAAAATCTGGACATTGCCATCTCTCTGTCCAGCTAACATGAGGCCAGTGCATATTCCGTAAAGCCGTGTGATGCATTTGCTGTAACAGAGAGCAGTCAGCCCATATCCACCTGAACAGGTAGACTCGTAGCGGTATCAGGGCTACAGCTAGCAGCGTCAGGATGAAAATCATGCCGTCGCAAAACACCCATTTATGATGAAGTTTGCCAGAAACACCTCTCTTTGGTTTAGCTACTGTCACATTAGGGCTTTTAGCGCAAGATGAACGGCGTTCTTGATGTAATAAGAAAAGAGGGTTTGCAGCCCCTGCCAAGTGTAAAAACATCACAGTCACTATTTCTCCCTAAATTCATGTTTGTGTGTGTGTTTTTCTACATCCCCCTCAGAGGCAGCAGCGATTATCAGCTCACATAGATGTTTTGTCAGTCTGAATTAGCCCGCTTTGTGCTCCCAAGTGTTCCCCAGCCAGCGGACTCCCATTCACCCCCCTTTCTTGTCTTTTTTCCCCAACACAAATGGCTCTCACCGTCTGGCTGGCTGAGGCTGGCGTTGTTGGCAGGACTCCTGGAGGCCCGCCGGAGAAACAATCCCTACAAAGTGGCGTGAATTAATGTGACTAATTACCACCGCGTTAATTATTTGTAAATTGCATGTTTGGGTACACATTACTTGAGAGGCATATGCTGTTTGTCGTCCTGCCCAAACGCTTGCCAGCTAATGTGTATCAGTGAAGGGCCCCCCCTCTGATCGCCATCCAATCACAGCCGAACACACGTGGAGAGGAAACTGGAAGGACTAGAATGGGAGAAAGTCACAAAAAAAGAGAAAATTGGCAAGATTGGGTTCCAAGTGGATGTGTTGCTAATCTTGTTGGCATACTTTTGCTGAAAAAAATAAAATAAATAAATTACAATTTAAAATGTAAGAGAAACGATTGTTGTGAGAATCAACGGTTATTGTTTAAGGATGAAACAAATATGAAAGTATGAATTTTATCTCAATTCTGTTTTTATATATGTTTCAATTCCTCAACTGCTTCTGCGCGACCTACATCTTAAATGAAATGTATCTGTTGAATATGATCATCCAGATAACACACAAAAAAATCACAAAAAGGTTAGCGCTTCATATAAAAGTCTTAATGATGAATTGTAGTAAACATGTCACCTTTTATCTAGAATTATTGATTGACATTGATTATTATTATTATTATTATCAAAGTATGATAATTTAACTGAAAAACCCTGACATCCCTGATTACAGCTCAACGAGTTGTCTAAAGGATGGACCCAACCGTACTGTCGCTTCTGTCATCACCGTGTGTGGAATGATTGGAACAATATCTGAACTCTGAACAATGTAAAGCGCTTTGGGTGACCTTGGTCTGTAAAATGCACTAAATTAACATTACTTTCTAACTTACTGACTTACTGACTTACTGACTGACTGACTGACTTAGACAAACTGTCATGCAGCAGTCTGAAGCATGTATCATGGGGCTCAGAGCCAAAGCTAATTTGTAGAAATTGTCCCTAGATTCACTTTTAGAAGCTTTTAACCATGCTATAATTAGTGTTTATGTGGATGTCGCATTAAAGGGTCAGACGTAATTTATTCACAGTTTAGAATACAGACTCCTTTATTCATTCATTCATTCATTCATTTTCAACCCCTTTATTAGTCCATTTCTGGGTCGGGGGGGTGGCAATCAGAGCTGCCACCCAGTGCTCATAACACCAGTCCCTCTGATCCTCTGCAGGGGGTGACTCCACAGGAAGATGGCTTCTTGACGCAGCCTTGTTCTTTCAGCGGGGGCTTCAGGCAACGTGGGGTTAAATGTCTTGCCCAAGGACACAACGACAGTAGACATTTGTGAGAGCAGTTGGAGTAGGTCCCATGGTGGGCTCGAACCCACAACCTTCAGGCTCAAAGGCCAATGCTCTACCAACTAATTTTATTATAATGTGGATTTTCTCAATATTAATGTTTAAAACATTTAATATTTTTTATTGTACATAATATACCCTGAAAAGACTATATTTTTGCCTTTAACATGTTTGCACACTTCTGTCTTTTGCACAAACCTGAGTGATTCTATCCGTGCCAAATGTGACTCCTGTGTGAGATCAATGAAGTCTATCTTATCTTATCTTATCTTATATACAGAAATAATACAAAAAGAATCACATATTGTATAAAAGTAACAGAAGGATGTGACTTCAGAGGTATTATTTTATAGATTACTTATTGCGCAGTGATATTCTTCAAGCTTTTCTTTATTATCTTTTTTTCACTTTCAGATTTGGATGTATATCGTAATGATCCATGGGGACATAGATTATTACACTATAGCCGGTAGAAGTACAGCACCACAAATGGTAAAAAGAAAAAAATATCTATAAAGTCTTGAATGTAGGAGAAACAGATCCTCTCAAACATAAACAAATCCTTCGGAAACACAACATCTGCATCAATTAGAAAGAAACGCACATTTACAACACCCTCTTAATTGGCAATTTTACATTCTGTTTGCCGCTGATACTGGCTTTTCACACTTCCCTAGGACTGTGTCGGGAAGAACGCGCACCCGGACTTAAATTGGGACTCGGAGATGACACATATAGATCCCCCCCCTCTCCCCAAACCCCCCCTCTCCTCATCCACATCCAGCAGCCCTCACCTCTCACCTGTCTCCTTATATGACTCCCCCCCCCTCTGCCTGACAAGCCCTATTTTTCCTCCCGCTTCTCTGGGTTGCTTTTCATCTCGTGCACCCACCCCCTACCCCCCTTCCCTCGTGCACCACCACCACCCATCCCCACATTCCCTATCTTCTCCCAGCGCATTAGCAGTCAGCTCCAGTCCTCGCCACACTTTGTTTTCCGAGGCAGCCGAAAGCCGCGGTATAGACCCGTGGAAAGAGGAGCGAGGCAGAAAGAGACCATCGTTTATACAAAGAACCAGAGGACTGTGGGGGGTTGGGGGGGTTAAATTCCTTTACACTAACTTTAAAAAGCGCACAGCCTCTAAAATGGTCCGCGTTGCTCTGGAAGGATGTTGGTGGATTGGCTTTAAGATTCTTATTCAGGTCAGCTCACAATATAATGCCACTGTATGAACGGACATATGATAGAATGACTATTTTATTTTCTCAAGCTAAGTTTTAGCTGTTTGAATGCCATTACCTCTATAATTCACACCTTGATATGATAAAGTTGAAGTGTGTTTTTTACGTCCCAAGTGCCCATAGACATTCGATGTTAGTTAAAACGATATACTACCGTTAAAACACTTTTGAATCACAGTTTTATGTACATTTAAGTTCTGTCTGCAGTGAGCGGGTTTTCAAGGCTCCAGTCCGTTTCAGATCGTCCTGTGTCCGTCGGTCTCTAACTGCATCATGAGGTCTGAGCTGAGCCTGCAGGACCTCTCTGATGTGTTTGCTGATGTCGAATAAATGACCCATTAAACAAATTGCTTTATCAATACATCACAACAGCTATTCTTGTACAGTGCTTTTCAGCGGCTTGCAAATGTATTAATATCACTTTTGCACATTTTGTTGTGCTTTTAAGATTACAAACATATCACTTCCCTGCAAGACCACAAAACAACACTAATAAATAAGTCCTTACTTTAGGGAACCCCAAAAGTACTTTACAAGCTTTGCTTATCCATCTTTTAGGCTGAAAGTTTTGCACATTTGTCCTGACAAAACAACTCGAGCTCTGTCAGATTAGATGGAGACAGCCTTTTCCGTTTTTCTCTGTGTATTACATATGACTACTTCTTTTTGAAACTGCTTTCTAGGGGTGGGCGATATGAACAAAAATAATCATCTCGATATTTTTTTCCCCAACTCCCGATAACGATATTGTTGCGATATCTTTGAAATGAATTATTTTTACACAAAACAATCTGCAATGTTAATATTTTTATTTTTTATTTTATTGTGTATATATATTTTTCATTTCTTTTTCTTGGATTTTGTGCCTTAGCTCGAAATAAAAACTCAAATAAAAATAGTAAAATAGCAAACATGCACAAACATGTATTAACACATTAACACATCCATAAAGGCTTGCACAATATTTTCTGAAATGTACAAATAAAACTGTGATTGGCGTTTTAGGCACTTATTTGACGAATGAGCATCTTGCCTGCTCTAATTGTAATGTGCATTGAAAAAAGAAAATAAGCAAAAAAGACGATAATACAAAAAAAGCATGTCTTCAAATGCTCCTTTGTGATATTATTGTCTACGATATATTTTGCCCACCCCTACTGCTTTCATTCTGAAACAAATTTATGGTGCTATTTATTGTTTTTGGGTTATTTTTGCAATGATTTCAATTCTCTCCCACCCCAAGACGTGATCGCCCCCTCCTGGCTCACCCCTCACCACCGCCACAGAAGCCGTCTATACTCTATAATGAACTTTTCCTCTCCTCCCTGCATGCGCACACTCCGTCTCTCTCTCTCTCTCCCATAATTCCGTCCGGTGAAGTGTGGAGTGCGGGATGGATTATTTCTGCTTGAATCGGAGGTCTGCGTGTGTGCGTGTGGATAATGTGGGCAGCCTGTGTTCTAATGATGGAGATTTGATGGGCAGAGAAAGGCTCGCTGGCCCAGACTGAGGCTCGCACGTTAAGGCTGAGGGATTGTCTTGTTTGGATTTAACAGTCTTGGGCGTGCGACTCAAAGAGCAGCACTTGTACGGATTAGAGCCGACAGTCCCCAAAGAGAGAACACTGTTATGGTGATGATGGGAGGAAGCAGGTCTTAATAAATGTTTAGACTCACACGAAAAAGCCTAAGCAGCCATCCACGGTCTGGGAGTGGACCCGTTTTACCGACACATTTCAAATACAAATGTTAAAGCACTTCAGGAATTTTGCAGTCGTCGTAACTGAAGTAATATAGACTTCATTTTCTTGACTATAAACTGTTACTAATTCTTCTTACTTTGCAAATACTCCAATGCTTTCACTCTCCTGCACTTTAATGCTGTTACTTGTACTACTTTACTGCCACAGCTGCTGATACCACTACTACAAGTACTACTACAAGTATTTCTTGCAGTTGCTACTACTACTGTAATGGAAAAAATGACATGAACATGGTTCAAGCATAGTGGGTGAATTGTGAGGATTTTCAAATGGTTCAGAGGGCTTTGTTTTGTGGCAGAAAGGTATTTGGGATGATGTTTGAGTAAGATGTAGTTTGTTAGTGAGTTTAGTTATTAGACAGTGATTGATGTGACTGATTCCCTAATTGTGTGGATGATGTAATCTTGGATTGGGACAGTGTCCTGTTCCTGTGTCCTCTCTGTCCTTTCGACCCCCCTCAACCCCCCTTGTTCCTCTGCTCTTCATACCTTGAGTTACCTATTTTCATGTAACCAGTGTAGCGGTGTGACATGGGTTTTTCCTGTGGCCATTGGCCAATGGCCAATGGTCCGGTCCCGTGCTATCCACCCCCCTCAGCCACCGGGCGGCACGGTGGCTGAGTGGATAGCACTCTCGCCTCTCAGCAAGAAGGTCCTGGTTCGAATCCCGGTCGGACCAGGGCCTTTCTGAGTGGAGTTTGCATGTTCTCCCTGTGTCTGCGTAGGTTTCCTCCGGGTACTCCGGTTTCCCCTACCACTAAAAATATGTCCAATAGTTCTGGCATGCGCCTCCTGTACTGGCGACCCCGCTCCCATCTCTGTGTGGAGTGAGAGACAAATGCCCAAAATTAACAATTGTAAACCGCTTTGAGACTCAGATCTGCAGTGAAAAGGCGGTATATAAATAAAAACTTACTTACTTACTTACTTACCATACTGATAAAGCTTGTGTGAATCCCATTGTGTGTCAGAGAGACTGATGCAGGATCTGAGGAGCGACTGCAGAAGCTTTCTCCATTTGCAAATGCTTGTTTTTATCATGTTCTTTTACTTTCATTAAACCACAAAAAATGCAACTCTGTTTCCATGGATCATTAAGGACATTTCCACAACACTACAAATGCTACTTTCAGCTTCTACTACTGCTACTACTGCTATTACTACTACTACTGCTACTAATACTGCTAATATTACTCCTAATATTACTGTGATTACTACTACTGTTACTACAAATACTTCTTGCAGTTGCTACTACTACAAATGCTACTTACAGCTTCTACTACTGCTACTCCTACTGCTAATACTCCTAATATAACTGTGACTCCTGCTGCTAGTACTACTAATACTACTACTACTGTTACTACTACAACTACTACTACTACTACTGTTACCACTACGACTCCTACTACTACTGTTACTATTATTACCAATACGTAAGGCTAAGGCCATAATAATCATCTGGAATATGAGTAAAGTACATTTCCAATTGAATTTTGTTTTGTAGTTTTATAGCAAATCATGAATAACTGATTTGATTCCACAGCGCTTAGACTACTACCACCACGAGCTGAGTGGGCAGTTGGGGCATGTTTGTCTGGATTACTGTTCCCTGTAGGATTGACAGTATTTTGAATATTGTATGTGTGGTGTAATGAAAGCAAGTATTCCCTTAGTATGTGTTTATTCGATTGGCACATGTCCTTTCTGTAGCACTGTGGCATCAAGTTGTTTTGATCGGATAAAAGATTCATTACCATTGCGTTTGTTATTCATTTCCCAGCATGCTGCCTGTGCACCGCTCGCACTTGTCAGTTCCACATGTAACGCTGTTTCTTAATAATTGCTTGTCAAATATAAGTTGTTCACAATGTTCTCAAAGTCTGCAAAGTCTTGTCAGAATGATGGAGCAATGGACAGCATGTTTTACTTCTCTATCACACTCTCTTTACTTATGTCAGGGTTTGTCTTCCCTCTCTGTTTTGAGCAGTAAATTGGAAAGGAGGCTAACTATGTATAATCTCAGTATAATGACAACCTCTTTAACAACTATGACACTAAGTTTGTTGTGGTGGTTGTGGATGAGGTTCTTCATCCTCTCTGATGGTAAAGCTAACCATTCTTCTCGGCAAAAAGCCTCCTGTTCCAGTGAATTCCTGGGCTGCCATGCATCTACTGCACATTTGCGATCTCCCCTGAACGGCTCCGATGTATTATAAAGTGACTTCCCACAACCACTAAGGATGAGTGTGGGGGGTGTGCAATCGTTCATAATCTCCAAATTAGTGCTAAAACAATGAATGTTGTGTCAAAGGATTCTGTCCATGTAAAATAAAGGACTTTCAGGAAACAAGTTCCTCGGATCTATTTGTTATGTCTGACACTCTGCACTTTGTTTGATGCACAATGTTGTCCTCCAAATGCCTGCCTTTCTATTTAAGATTATCTTTACTTTTTTCATAATGTTTGCAACTTCTACCACCAGCTGGAGGTTTGATTTGTTATTGTTGTTAACATTGTGTGCTGCAGTTGAAGGCAAATGTATGAAGACGGAGGATGGCTCTGAAAAAGGTTTGATATTGTAAGGATTAGACAACTGGTGGTAACCACCCAGGTTTCATTAACTTTAATGCAGAAGAGGCCCATTATAGCTAGCTTGAACAGGCTCTTTGAGCGTGAATATGGATCCAAATTTATGCAAATGTTGTTGGTAGCAGCAGCCGAATTACCAAGTGCCAATCAGGAGCGGTGCCAGTCAGTCCCCAGTTGCACTACTCACAAACTAAAGCCAAATTCAAAGGGCTCCTTATTGGTCAGTTTTCGTGCACAAGGATTGAAGAGAACACTAAACCATGTATTAGTGTGCCACAAACGCTTACTGAGTTATATTTATATATGAGTCTATGTTATGTATCAGAAGTTCCTGAGGTTTGGCTGGGTGAAGCTAAAACAACTTCAGTTGTTTTTGATAAGGACAAACATTGTAACATGGTTATACTCTCTGTGTGGAGTGAGAGGACAAGTGCCCAAAAAATAACAATTGTAAACCGCTTTGTGACTCTGGTCTGTGAAAGGCGGTATATAAATAAAGCTTACTTACTTACTTACTTATACACAGAAATTTCCATTATGCACAATATGGCTTCTTTTAAATAGTGAGATAAATGCCTTTACTAACTTCTTGTGTTGTCAGTCCATCATATTTCTATTGGACAACTCAAACTCTGCCCCCTACTGGAACATCTGTCTGTTTTCCATGATTCAAAATTCATTAGTGATTCTCGATGCACTTTTCTCTGGCGTGGAGCCTGTATTTTCAGCAGATTCTATAGTGTGTGCATGAGCTGTGTGAAGCAGTGAGAATGAGACAGCCCCTATAGATGGAAAAGTACTGCAGCCTCGCAACACAACAGCTTTAAAAGAACAGGCCGAGTGAGGCTATTACACACTTTTGCAGGAACTCAAACACAGGCATTTTCATATGAACAGTGTGGGGGATGTTTTACAGTTCAATTGTTGCTTTGACCTATTACCAAATGGCAAAGATGTGGATGTATTTATTAATAATAATGCATCGGTTTTATATAGCGCTTTTTTGGACACTCAAAGATGCTTCACATGTGTCATTATTCATTCACTCCATACACGGTGGTGATAAACTACTAATTTAGCCACAGCTGCCCTGGGGCACACTGACAGAAGCGAGGCAACCAGTATGCGCAATCGGCCCCTCCGACCACCACCAACCATTCATACACACACCAGACTCATTCTAGGCAATGGGGGTGAAGTGTCTTGCCTAAGGGCACAACAGCAGTTTGGCACTTTACAGCCGCAGCCGCCCCACTGTGGCTGGTGTTCCCAGAGGTTAAGTGTCTTGCCAAGGACACAACGACAGTAGTCAGTGGGAGTCGATGGTGAAAGTCTTGAGCGGGGCTTGAACCCACAACCTTCTGGCTCAAAGGCCAACGCTCTACCAACTGAGCTACTGCCGCCACATTATTATTGTATTATTAGTATGACTTGGTAAATGGTACAAAAAGAAGAATGTTCCACGTCCAATTCACAAAGGTAATTTAAATGACTTACTACCAAGCGGAGGAAATGCAGACAATGCATTCTGTAGTGTTCATTTTGTTCAGATGATGAAAAAGAATGTGACTTTGGACTATTAGAAAAGTCTGATATCCTGCAACAACATTTTTTTCTCTCTTTTAACCATGTGACGACCTTGTTGCTCATATAAAAACTGACCAGGAGTTGTTTTCGATCCCTTTACGGCAATCATGAACTTATAGTACAAAATGATTACCTTTAAAATATTTTTGGCCATTTCTCAGGGGAAAGGAGATCTTTACATGCCTGTGTAATTTTCTAATATAAGAACAAAGACAAAACAAATCCTCCTCCTCCTCCACCTGGTGGCAGCATAGGGAGTTACAGGCCAATAGCATTTTTTACCCTTCATTCTTGTTTCTTCATATATTTTCTACTTAAAGCTGCACTAACTCACTTTGTGAAATTTTTGAATGTGAGCGCTGGCCTCGCTCTTTCTGCTCGCCCTCCCCGCACTCACGGAGCTAGGAAGCTCAAAGTCACGGGAAGCTTCAGGTTAGCCTCCGCCGCTTGTTTACCTCAGCTGTCTGTGCTAACGAGAGACCTGTGGCTTTTCTCAAGAAAGCGGGGGCCAGTGGTCCGCTGTGATTGGTCACAATCAGGTCCCGAAACAAATTCTCTTCCTTGTTTCACGAAAACTCGATCTAAAACAAAATGACACGCCAGCACAAATCTGCGCTACTTTTTCTTCAAAAGGACGTATATCCCAATGCACTACTGGATATGGATTGAATTTTTGTAATGAATACAAAAATAAAGTCAGTTAATGCAGCTTTAATATGTAATTTTATGTTCTAAAACAATAGATTACAGTAAAAAGTCTCATTATATTTTTTACTATCAAACTTAATGTTTTATCTTCTATAACATGAACAGTGGAAAAGTGTGAAGGGTTAAGCAATTCAGTTTTAGGAAACTTCTTCTCAATCTCTTTCCAGTAAAAAAGTAATCCAGCTGTTTCAAGTGTAATACGGATCCCGAAACGTTGGCTTCCGATGTTTGCCGATATCCGACATGAACTGATACTAGAGAAGGGAATGAAAGAACAGAAGCAGGAGAGAACAGTTCAACTTTGTCTTACTAGAAGTCAAAACTCTCTTTGTTAATATCAGCTGGTAAATATTTTAGGGCTGATTAAAAGATGAATTGCAACTAACTGATAATTATCAACTAATTTCTGCAACCGATGAATGTTTTTTTAACCTTCCATAATTACTGCAGAATGAAATGAAAATATGTAACAAGTCATCTTTATGAAGCTTTGTTTTGGTCAATCGTATGAAGTGCTTTTTACAGACAAACAACAAGACTTTGCAGAATTTTTCTTTTATTAGCCTGGATGGATAAAAAAACAACTCCAGATCTGTTTTGAGGAACAAAGTTGGTTGTAACTGTTTTTTGTGAGGACAATTACTTTCAGGGGTGCCACATTCGGATATTGTCATATTTAATTTTAATTTTAATTTTTTATTATTATTATTATTTTCATTTTTTAAAGACAATGAAATAGACACACATCAGCATTCAACAAGAACAACAAACAAACAAACAAACCAAAAAGTATATGAATATATGCCTTTGAATGCCATTAACGTTGTGCTTTTCTGTCATTTGTCTCTTGCCTTTAACCTGTTTTACATCACAATGGTATAATTGTTATTATGGTATTATTATTGATAATGGGTTTTGATGTTTTTAGTTTTTTTTTGCCTGATTTCAACCAAAACTCCACCAACGTTTTTAACAATGTATCACTGGGAAAGGTTCTGAGTGATGCTATGTGAAAAGGTCTGCCCTAGAGGCTCATTATGTGTTTATGATATTGATAACATATAAATTAGCAGCGCTCACAGAGACACACGGTGGCGCAATGACTACAGCTCGTGGTTCTGGCTTAAAGTCCAAAACCTTTCTGTGTGGAGTTTGCACGTTCTCCCCATGCCTGCTTAGGTTTCCTCCGTGTGCTCCGGTTTGCCCTATCACCAACAACATGTGCGATGAATGTAATTGGGAGAGTGAGCTGACGGTGTTGGTCGATAGCTTTGATGCGTTTGTGTGTGTGTGTGTGTGTGTGTGTGTGTGTGTGTGTGTGTGTGTGTGGAGTGAATGGAAAAATACATGTGTTCCATAAACATTGTACAGCACTTTGGATGACCTTGGTCTGTGATAAATAAGTATAAATGTGTTTTCACTGTCCACCATGACAAACATCAATTGAAAAAAATATTCAACCATAGAAAGTGAGGGGAGTACGGTGGAAGCGTGTACTGCATGTTGAGACGTTGAGAATCATTGACAACACAATCCCATGTAAAACTGCACTAACAGCCAAATCAATACACACGTAGTATTTAGTGCGCAATTATAACAGACAGAAAATGCAGTTCATTCATGGCTGTGCGTGGGATTTTGTTTGTTTTAAAGTCAGTAGAATACTTTGCATTGCTAATAAGAGGGAAATATTGATTGACAGGCCACAATTGAATGTATATGACGGTTTGTAGACGAGATAATATGGGTATATAAGAAAATGCCAAAATTAATTATTCTGTCCTCTACCATTTTCCCATAATAAATAATAATATTGTCCCATATTAGAGCGACACACATTTTATTTTGTTTGCCATATAGTATATTCATTTAGTATAAAAATAATGAATTTGATTATTTTGTATTCTCAAACATCACACACAAAAGTAATTATACTCATTATTGTGTTTAATCTGCAAAAAGCCTAACCTTAATTTCACTACCGCATCACTGTTTATCAATTAACCCAAAATTAAATCACAAACAAGAGCGGCTTAAACAATGTGTTTTTTTTTATATTTTTATAAGATATGATCCTTTATTCGTACCACAGTAGGGAAATTTCAATGTTGCAGCACACATACAGGACTGTAGAAAGAGCACGCAAGGAGCACACACAATATATACAAACTAAGTAGTAGCTATGTTTCTTAGCTAGCTGTAAATGCTTCAATACCAGTCTTTCAAAAATATATATTTAGTGCGGAGTTATATACTGTGTATATAGGGCATAATAATAAGTAGATATAGTAAAGTGAGTAAGTAATACGTTTTAAGCGATTAAATAAATAATTAATTGATAATGGGTATCTAACGGCAGTCTCTGGTTCTTCTCGCAGCGATTGGCCGGACGCTGATCCCGCGATACTTCAGCACAGTGTTCGAAGGCGGCGTCAGCGACCTGCACTACATCCTCAAACACTCCAAAGAGTCCTTCCACAACTCCTGCATCACACTGGACTGCGACCAGTGCACCATGGTAACGCAGCACGGCAAGCCCATGTTCACCAAGGTACGTGTCCGCAGCCCGCACACACACACACACACGCACACACGCACACACGCACACACACACACACACTTTATAAAGTCACTTTACTGCCCATCATACGTCACTTTACTTCACTGTACTGCTGTCACCTTACATTGTGCACTGTATATTGTAAATAGTAATTATAACTCTATTTTAATTTTATTTTTAAATGTATTCCTTAGAATTGTTTTTTATTCTTTTTATTTTATTTTTATTCTCTCTCTCTGACTGTTGCACTGAGCCAAAGCAATTTCCAAGTTTGTGACCTCCTGTTACTTACGTGGCCATAAAAAATATTCTGATTCTGATACACACATACACACACACCCATACGCACATGCATACACATACACATACACACATACAGACACGCACACAGGTACACACACATACACATACGCAGCACACATACACATAGACATACACGAACGCATATGCACACGCAGCACACACACACAAAACTTGGCTGTGTTTTTGACTGCTCTTTTTGTGGTCAGGGACATAAAGCTAAGGTACCTAACTTTAAGACCACATGTTACAAAATCCATCGGATGAGTTCCTAATCATCAAAACACTTCGATCAGTGTCACATATTTATATCAGCTTTTTCAGACAGAAAAGTGATAAAGGGGGGACCACTCTTGCTCAACCAATCAGTTCAGACACGCAGGTTTGCAGGTTCATTCTGTTGATACCAAATTCAGTATTCAGGAAAAAAAGTGAGATACCCCAGCTTTAACAGACTACGGGCAGCACAAGGCTTTTCTGTGGATAGTTTGCATGTTCTCCCCACATCAGGTAGCTGCTATATTGAAATCATAGACCATATAAGGAGCGGACAGGCCGAGTGTGACATCACCTCAGTGTTATCCTTAATGTCGAAGATGCCGATTTGAACATGAGCGAGCTGGAGCCAATTTCCTTTTATGGGTTCCTCAGCTGTGTTAGCTTTCCATCGTAATGGGGGCACACGCTAAGATGTTGCAAAGATGGTTGCAAAGGCAAGCTGGAGTTTCTCCTGATAATGAAGGCATCTGATTGGACAATCTTTAAATGGATCATATATGGATTTACTAAGACAATATCATAATAGGAACACCAGGATCATAGAGTGTTACACAGATTTTGTATATAAATGGTATATAAATGGATACTGAACTAGAGTTTACTTTTCTAAGTCAATAGGAGTCAAAAACTAAACTTCGTCCAAGCGCTATACCAGCTTTGTTCATCTGCATAGTCTGATTAAAGTCCGATCAAAACTACAATTTGACGTCTATGTGGAATACACCAGTGCAGGCGCATGAAGAGCGTTGATTCCACGCAATACTCTCCTGTAGAATAATACTGGCTTACAAATAGTCACCGGTATTTTCTCCATATTTGAGACTTCCCTTATCTATCTACACTTTTACAGTATTTTCAATATCACATGTTACATCTTTGACAGATAGATATTTTTTGCATCACTCTTACAATTCTTCCTGTGGAAATGTTTAGTTTGTAACCTTTTATATTAAGTGTATCTTGATCTGTGTAAGCAACTAGACGTGCATGGGGACCTCTAGTGGTTTACATTTGTTAGGACACTGTTGGAAGTGATAGATAAACTGTGTTATTGTTTCTTCTTTTGTATCAAGTATTTGGTAGTTTTTTCTGTCTTCAAACAAATTCACTGTTCAAATACACTATTCATGACGACATTCTCTGGCTGTGATTTTCAGATGTAAAAGTCCCCCGCGCTTGTCAGAACACAGCTTGTCTATAATTAGTCTAATGCACGACACAGCGGGTATACTGTTAGTGCTGCTGTTAGTGAAAAGGCCAGTTAAAGTGAGATAATGTTTTTATCGCTTTTTAACTCTGAACAGTCTTTGTATTAAGAGTTATTATTATATTTAATTATTGGCAACTTATGTGACCAACACAGGGTGCAAACTCACTTAAGAGAAAGTGACCTTTGAAGACCACTGCACTAGATGCATGCGTTATTATATTATAATTATTATTTGGGTTCATTTTGATCCCATCTTGAGAATATGTTTTTGATGAGGAACTTGATGAGATATTTGTTAACACACTTCAGTTTCAAATGAATGTCCCCATAATTCGCTGCCCTTGCGTTGTAATCATTGACTTATTGCTTATTGCTAAGTTTGAAAATGTAAAGAAGTGGAATATATCATGTTTTTGGTTTTGTTTTGTTTTTCATCCATGTGAATTTCAAGGAATTCTGATCCTAATATGTTGTTGTCTAAGACAAGTGCCCCTTTTTCAAACTTATTATTAATACAAATTTGACCAAAACTATATCCTGATTAGCATGCCCTGCCCCTACCGAATATACAATAAAACAAAAACAAAAAAAAGTTCATGTCTATCCAAATATTGTAATGAAATATGTCACTTTCTGGCCATGACTGCCCCCTGCTGGACACTCTGTCTGCTCTGGAAAGCAGCTTCAGTGACAGACTTATTCATCCTCGATGTGTGAAGGAGAGGTTCCGCAGGTCTTTCCTTCCTGCTGCTGTCAGACTGTACAACAAACAATAAGGACTAATGAACACTACCAACTTGATCCCACGTGTCATGCATCATTGCAATATCCTTAACTTATATCAGAATGTGCAATAACCACATGTCACTGTCACTTTACTGAGACACTGTGTTTCAGAGCCTCATTCTGCTATAGTACAGATGTAAACATACTGCTGCTAACATGTACAGATGTAAACATACTGCTGCTAATGTACAGATGTAAACATACTGCTGCTAATGTACAGATGTAAACATACTGCTGCTAACATGTACAGATGTAAACATACTGCTGCTAATGTACAGATGTAAACATACTGCTGCTAACATGTACAGATGTAAACATTCTGCTGCTAATGTACAGATGTAAACATTCTGCTGATAACATGTACAGATGTAAACATACTGCTGCTAATGTACAGATGTAAACATACTGCTGCTATTGTACAGATGTAAACATACTGCTGCTAATGTACAGATGTAAACATACTGCTGCTAATGTACAGATGTAAACATACTGCTGCTAATGTACAGATGCTAACATACTGCTGCTAATGTACAGGTGTAAACTACATATTGCTTTATAATTGCCTCCTATTTAGCCAAATGTAAAACTTTTACACTTCTTTTGATTATTATTATTTTCAAGACAGAGATTTTATACTTGTTATTGATGCTAGAGTTAGAGATTTTGTTTTATTTAATTAGCATAGCTATTGTGCACTTATCTTTTGCCGTGTGCTCTTTCCTACTGTTCTATAACTTGCAACACTGAAATTTCCCCGCTGAGGGACGAATTAAGGATCTCTTCATCTTAATCTTAAACATCATATATAAAATGTGGCCAAATGTGGTTTTATTGTATACATGAGAGGGCACCTTATTCTATAACACTCTATCAATGGGCTCTAAACTTCCATTTTATCAATTGTTTTTGATGTCCCAGTCGTTCAATCTGACTGAAAAACAACTGCTGTTTTTGCTTTTACAAACTAATGCTCTTGAACTGAAACGTGGAAGACTTTCAAATTGTGCAAATGTCTTTCTTTGTCTTTGCCCTTGTTCTGTTTTGTCAACACCATTCCCCTCTTCACACACACGCACACACACACACACACACACACACACACACACACACACAAAATCCTATTATACATTATTACAAGTGTCCAATATTAAGCGTTCAGACGGAGGGGAAGCAAACGGCAGACTCGGTCAACACAAACGCTTGCGGCGCACTGCTCTTTTCATCTTCACCTAAATTGGATGAGGAGAATTAATTCATTAGACAAAAAATAAAAAGAATTCCAATAAGTGTGTGTTTTTCCCAGTGGTCGGAGTGGGTTTGTGTACTGCAAAAATCCTGATCCACTGTATGTGATCTCTCCATGGACTAATGCGTTATCCATACACATGCAGACGCAGTCCCAGTGTGCTGCATGGACTTTTTCGTGTGGTTTTTGACTACAGACAAACAGATTGCTCATTAAATAAATAAAAAGTAGATTTCAAACTCAGGATTTAAAGCTGGTGCCACGACCTTTCATCATGAGAAAGGTAAACTATGTCATATAATCTGTCTAACTTGTCTTGGGTCACAGAAAAGTGAAGAAGAGAAGACCACCCTCACTCAGCCAATCCTCTGTAAAACCCAATGCCTCAAATAGTAACTCACAGGGTCAAAGATTTTCTAATTGGAGGTTGTAGTCTGATTTAAGCTGGGCATTTGTGCGATTTTCAGATGTGCGATATTGTCCTCACACTGTGCAAGTATCTAATATTCTGTCCGCGATGAGAGCCCATTGACTTCTATACAAGAGCCAGAGAAGGGGTGGGATGAAGATTAGTGTATGTGTGTCGGTGTGTGTTGCTCTGAACGCAGGCTTGTGTGTAGCCGCTGTCCTCTCGGCGTGTACACCACAGAAACATCTTATAAAAACATTAGCAAGTCGTTAATATTAGCATAGCCTGCACATTACCTTTATTAAAACAGGAGACACTCTAGTGGCTTGTGAGCACTCCAGTAAATAGTCCGAAGGTCTTCCCACAGCCCTGAGTCCCTCAGTGCAGCGACTACTGTCCTCTGCAGCCATATTTTACAGTGTATGCACAGCTTTGAGGCTCGGAACCTATGACTCAAGACAAATATCAAACATCTTAACCCCACGATCGCACCATCAGCAGTCGTGAGCTCATTGTGAGGTGATAATCGCAGCTCGTAACCCCTCACACACGGTGCGTATCAGGCACAGAGGACACAATCTTATAATGCTCACGCAACTAAAAATGTGGTAAAAATGTGACTAAAAATTACACAGTGACTGTCCAGCTTTAGGAGTGTGCTGGTGTAGCACACTGGAAATTATACAATATTGTTTTTTGTAAGTTTATTACAGAGAATTGGACAACAATTCATAATTCATGTAATTAAACTGAAACATCTT